TTCTTATCAGTAGACGTTTCTCAGAACAAATTTTCTTGACCATTTCCTCAAAATGATGTGATGTTGAATCATCCCCAAGCCATTTTGAGCTGAATGGAACCTCTTAACACAGGTGTTAATAAAAACACCTGTCTCAGAGCAGGATTTTGAAATGCACAGATGGGGAAACCCTGGAATGACCCAGCTGGAGCAGTATTGGGTCAAAGACAAAGGAGCCAAAAACCCTTTCACTTATAAGATTGAGGACATCAGTATTTCTTGAGATTCACAGCAATGACAATAAGGAAAGCATAGCTCTAGGAGAATACAGCTATGTTTGGTATCACTGACTTCTTTGCTGCTGCCATGGCAAAAAATGTTAAGATTGGAACACCACAATAGAAGTTGGTAAATAAACACACATCATCTATACCTGACTTCATAAAAAATCCCCATGCTGTCTAGATATGGGACCTGAAACCTGAATTGAGAGATACAGAACCAGGCCCTGTTATGAAGAATTGTTATGGGAGGAAAGAGAATTTATTCCATGGTATGTAGAACCTCTCTAGAATCTCATAGCACTAGGGAGTGCAGAGCTTGGAATCCATTTCTCATTCTGGCAGTGTGAAATTGCTGGGCTGCAACTTAATTTGATCTTATTTCTCTACTTTGTGAAGTTCTAGAAGCAAGGCTAGAATTATGTTAAAACCAAAGGAACATCAGTAATGAAGAATAATATCTCTCTAGATCAGGTGCCCTAACAAAATTATCATGTCTTTTGAAAAGCAGAAATCTAAATTATTCTAGAAAAAAACTTCTAAAAGTCATCCTCTGCCTGTTGCCCCAGAGTAAAATTTAATATTTTGACAAAGGAGGGAGGAAAAAAGTTAATTTGGAAGTTTCCAGACATCTCTAGTTTCTTCCATCCTTATTTGTTTTGCATGAAGACAGACGCATAAGATGCTTTGTAAGATTTCTTTTCCCTGATTTGTTTTGACATATCATAGATGATTTTAGATGGAATAAACAGGAAACACAGAGCTCACAGTTTGATAGTGAATGCAATGAGGAGTGATGGGTCACAGCATAGTGGTGAAAGCAGAATGTCCATGCCTATGGCAGAGTGTTTGGAATGAGATGATCTTTAAGGTCCCTCCCAGCTCCAGCCATTCTGGGAGTCCTCATTTTAACGCCAAGCCTGGATCTGCTTGTGTTGTAATGTTACAGTACTGGAGATGTGGGGAGAGAGGCAGTGGCAGAAATGACAGCTGGCAGTAATCAGGTTGAAGGAATGCGCCCTTGCATCCATTTGTGGGTAACAACAGCTCCTGCAGTTAGCAGTGCCTAGGGTTAACAGATTGTGCAGACTCCAATACAGACCCTTACAGAGGAATTTTTCTAGTTGCTCATAAAATTTTCTGTGTTTTACACAGATGCTCAAGTAACCCATTTAATTTTTATTGCCTTAAGAATGACCAAAAATACAAGTAGCTAAATATTTAATTCAAGTTAATTCAGACACCTCCGCTAGGTTTAAAAAGCTGAAGTGGGATAAAAATCCTGTTATCTCCCCATGTAATCTACCTGCACAGACATTCCAAAAACCATTTGCCAGGATTGTCTGCAGCGATGTTAAACAAATGCTGCCCTGGATATACTAGTCCCCTGAAAAAGTGTAAACTATATATATGATGTTTTATAATGAAATGACTTCTATCTTCATTTTATGTATGCAGCAGGCACTCACCAGAAGATAAAATGGTTTTTAATATAATTGTTTTTAATCAAGAAAGGCATAGAAGATCTTCTGTAGGCAGAAGGCAAGATCATGCCTTAGCAGAGTAAAGAGAAAAGAGAGAGACAACACACTGAAATTCGTTGAAGAAAGAAATTGCAGGAACTTTTTTTTTCTGAAGCTAATGTAGCAGGGACAGAAGCTATTTCCTTGTGAAGTTCCTGGTCTACAACTGTTTTAAAACCAAAAAAACAGGTAGCCTAAAATAATGCCCAACAGTCAAAATTGCCAAGTAACTTAGGTGAAATTTTACTTGGAAAATATAAATCTTGTAGCTTTTTACTCAGCAGATCTTACAGGGCAGCTGGAATTATGGTCATTTTGGAGAAGTGCAAGATAAAATTTTAGCTCCACTGAAGGACAATGGTGAAAGATCTGTTCACTCCAAAATTCTCTTGGATACCACCTATGAGATCTTTTAACCACTGTTTCTGTTGAGAAGCCAGAACTGCTGTGAGAACAGGGACTTCCCATTCAGAAAGCAGCTCAAACTGCATGGTCTGGTCTGGATTCATTTGCTTGTGCAAACCTCACTGCAGTGATGGGAGGAAAATGATCCAACTTGGTTTTCAGATCCAAACCTAGCTTTTTATGTCTGACAATTAGAATCCACTTCCCTCCCCCCACAACTGTAAAAGTAACACATTCTGTCTATTGGTCTTTAAAAGTTAATAAACATTAAACCAACAATGACCTATTTCTGCAGTGATTTTTCAGGTTGACAATGATTTAAACTTTTAAAAAAACACATATTGGGTTCTGTGCTTTTTCCACTGATTTCAGCCCACAGTGAACTCCACTTTGTCCTGCCTGATCTGACTTCCTCTCCCCTTTCAGGGTAATCTTCCTGCCTTTACCAGTATCATTGCACAGAGATTTGTATAAGCATAGCTGAGTATATACATTATATGAACAGAGAGTTCTTTTAGTACTTGACATGTTTTATTTTAAACACATTCAGACATTAATAACTATGCATATGTGTACAGGCACCTAGGTGTAACTATACCATGTTGTATTTTACATACGCAGCATTAGATAATAAAGTTCTGACTTTTTTCCCAAGGCTTTGCTCGGTTATTCTTTTTGTTTTGGTTTGTTTTGTTTCGTAAATTACTGGGAATTAGTGTTTTAAGTAATGCATACTTTTAAGATACGTTCTGAGAGGTGTATCTCATTTCAAATGTGTTGGATTTGAAAAAGAAACAAAGAAAAGAAAAAGGGATCATCAGATCAACCGCTTCATTATTATTCTCTTTTCCTGATCACCTCTGCCCTGGTATGTAGAAATTGGCTGATTTATTTAAATCCCAGTAACTCCCACGGCATATGGTTCATAAAGTAGCTTTTACAGTGTTCATTGTAACACTTCACTGCTACTAGAAAGATCTGAAAGTAATATGGTTTGATGCTGTTCCAAAAGGAAAAATAGAGTAAAACTATCTCTACTATTAAGTCAACTGCTGTAAGAGCAGCTTTTGGAGAGGGATAGTATTTTCTGAATGACAACTGACACAAAAACTCCCCCCAAAAAAACTAACACAACCAACCTTAAAAAAATCCCCTAGCCCAAAAAAACTATCCTCAGAAAGTAGTTCTTCAACACTGCCTTTTTTCCCACAGCCTTGTGGAGCCCCCAACCCTGTCTGCAGAAAATGAAAGAGAGAGGGGTGGGATTAATGTGTAATTAAAGGGAATTTGGAAGGCTGAGATGTTGCGGAATGTTAGATCAGTAGCTGGAACAGCATGTGGTGTTCTTTAGGCAGGCTTCATTGAATCCATACAAAAAAAGAAAGAAGGGCTGCTTGCCTGTCTGCTCATTTATCAAACAGCTAGGCTGAACTTTCACAGCTCCACAAAAGTGTTTTACTGTTTGCTGAAGTTTTGCTCCAGAAATTAAAGCTGAACAACCTAGCGACTCTGAGTCTTTGCTGCATTTTTGACATCAGCCACCTTGTGCAAAGCTCTTGGAAACCAACACAGGTCAATTTCTACATGATACTAAGGGAAGATGGTTGTACCTTTGCTAAAATGTACTGAAGAAATGGTCAAATATGTGACATTGTAATGTCTTTATTTATATAGCACCTTTTGATCTAAATACACGTTCCAAAGCTTTCAGTCATCAATCAGGATTAAATATTTATCATGGTGACAAAATGGCTAATGGAGAAAAAAAAAAATCTATATTATTTAATCAATATAAATTGACTTTGTTCCTAGTTGAACAGTTATATTCCATCTTGTAGGCTTATTTTCCTTTAATATTAGTTGGTGTTACCCCCCAAAGAGGAAGTATTTAGCAATTTATGTAAAAAAACACAATTAAAATGGATTACAAATTTTGAAAGGAAGTATCTCCTTCACAAGTAAATCTTCAAGGCTTACTGCAGTTTTTGTTGCATGAGTGTTCTTACAGAAAACTTTTCCTCCTCCTGCAGACCCCAGTGAGAGCATGGTTCACTCCTGTGAGGTGCTGAGAGTCTCCTTTCTAGCAACAACAGTAAAGCTTTTTCATCAGGATTAGCCTGGTTGATAGAGGCTCTGATGACTTAAGGCAGAGTCTAAATTCATTGATTTATTTCCTTAAATGCAACTGGCAGTGAAGAAGTTTTGGGTTGCAGTAGCAATGTTCTTTTAATGTCTGCTGACACACTAGAGTTTGAATTCTTGATGAATAGCCTGCTGTTGCTGAGATCTACTTGTTTTCCATAGAGGATAAATTGATTGTGAGGTATCTTTACAAATGCCTGATGAGTTTTTCTTGGTAGAAACGATATCCCTATCAAATACCAAAATCTTTTCAGAAAATCATCTTTTAAAATAAGAAGTGTTTATTTCTTGGCTGGCTTGTGAAGGTCTATAAAGAACTTTGTTGATCCTGCAAAGTGATATAAGTAGTAGGCCAATTCTAATTACAGTGCACCTTAGTTTAGAGGCAGAGCTGTTCTTAGATTTTTAAGGAAATATGTTCTATTCCAGTAACTTCCGAAAGTATTTAAATTAATGGTAGCTAATGAAATTATAGTGAAGTTTAAAGTCTCTTTCCCCCTTTCAGAAATGGAAAAAATCAAGAGCTTTATTTCTGCTTTCTTCTACCATGTATTTTGTAGATATCACAGTACAGTTTTTCTTCTTTTTTTGTCTTTAAAGTTCATATTAAATTAAGTATTGGTAAATGTGTGTTTCCATTTGTCTTAATACCAGTTCTGTTTATCTGCAGATAATAAGACAACAGTTTCCACAACTAACAACAAGAAGACTTGGAACCAGGGGCCAATCAAAGTAAGCAGTATGGTATTATGATCATCTTACAGGGCCCCATGTGGCTCTGGCTTTACTGAATGGGGAATAAGAACAGGAAATTATTTGTGCAGTTGGGGCCTTAAAACCAACTTTGATGGAGGTTCTGTTGTAGTCTTTACATTATCTTATAGATTCAGCAGTGATCTTGCAAAGGTGGTCAAATGGAGCCCTTTTACTGATTCGATTAGCAGTATTTTCCACATTGTTTTTTCATCTCAACTCCCTTTGCACAATGTAAACCACATTCACACTCAGGAGTAATGGAGCTACTGTTGGAGGCTGAGAAATATTAGCATCATGTTTCAGGCTAGAGAACAAGTGTCAGAATGCTATTTAGAATTTAGGTAGAAACATACATTGAGCTAACTGAAATTGTCCACAAACCAGTATTTAACCATCATTTTTCCCATGTAATAAAATCCAACATACCTTTAGGTGATTAAAGATTTAGCTTATTGCCTTAACCAAAAGATTATATTTTCTGAAAATAGTTAATCTTAATTCCAGAATGAGAAACTGGTTCAGAATTAAGAATGCACTTCCTGGGATATTTGACTTTTTCTGATTGTTGATAAGGTGTGATTCTGCCAATTAATTTAGAGGATACAGTGATGTTTTTACGCTTTTTTCTGCTTGTAGACTCCAAGAAATTTTTCCAGGGAGCTTTGAATCTTTTTGTGGCAAGCATAAGTCCCCTCACATAATAAAACCTGCTTTTCTTGATTAGCTTTCACAGAATCCTACAGAGCAGCAAAAGTGTAGTGTCTATAGATCACAAGTGAAAAACTGTGGGAGGGGAAATGAAAATGTGAGATGGTGTGCTTGCAGAGTTTTGTTGGTAAAACTTCTCTTTCAAAATAAAGCCTGAAAAACACAATATGGCTAAATGCTGAGAATTAAATATGCTGTTAGGATTGAGCCTACATACTAAAGGTAGAAGGACCTGCTCTTTAAGGAAAAAAAGAAACTAAGATGCTAAGAGACATGCCATTAAAGAAAGATTTACTGTGCTCTTCTAATGGGTGGTCCATGCTAGGCAGTGTTTCTTTGATGGGACAAAATATTCTTCCCTCCAGCTTGATATTTTCTCAGTTTTTATAACTAAGCTTTATTTTCCTAGGGCAGACGTATTTAAACAGCCAGTTGAAGATTTGATTTTGGGAATGGTCCCAAATGCAGAATGAGTGTTGCCATAACATCACTGACCAAAGCCACCAGAAATCTCTCAGGTAGAAATTCTGAGCTAGCCCAACAGCATACCAGGAAAGTGTGATAGGACCATAGTCAGAGAGTCAGGATTTAGCACTGAATATAAGCTTTGTGGAGGCTCATAAAGATGGAGTGGAAGTGTGTACAAGTTGCTTTGTGGACACATTCATATGAGTAGCCCCTATTGGCCATCAAATCATTCTGGCATCAGCTACAACTTTTGTTACTTGTCCTTCCATTTAGAGAAAGGAGAGAGCACTGCTTTATTTCCAAACCAGAGCTCCTAAACTGCTCCAGGAGTCTCTCAGAGGGCAAGACACACTTGATCTGCTGACTAGGAGTGTCTTGCACCTCCAAAAGCTGTCTCTTTACTCTCACTGACATTTAATATTTGTTGCACAATTTCCCCCTAACCTGCCTGCCTGTCAGAGCAGCTTTCAGGTCACACACTCCTTTCATGCCACTCACAATGGTTCTGCTCCCTACCTAGCAAATAAGGGGTTTCTGTCATACACAGAGAGAATACCTGCATCCTATACTTTAAGATAAATGCTCTCCTTGGTAGACCCAGCACAGCTGTAACTGAGCTCTGGTTTTGTTTCCAGAAACATCTGACTGCATTCCAGTTGAGCGTTACATAAAGAAATTACTTTAGACATTAACACTTCAGTCCCTTTATCACCAACTGTGCTGACCGATTGCTGCCAGTATTATTTTCGTTCCACTTCCCTGCCAGTGCCAAAGGAAATTCAGCCGTAGAAGTGGTTAAGATTATCTGACTTCACACTGTTCTGCCTTCAGTCTTTTTTATAGCATGGCTGCATTGTAACATTACAAAGTTCAGAGCTACAATGGTGCTGTACTCTTGCTCATCAGTTGTGAGCTTTCTGTTTTGCAGCTGGTTTATTGATGTGAGCGTGCAGCTGCTCTGTTGCACTGAGCTTAAAAACAGTTCCACCACAGGTGAGCTGTGAGAAGGCAGCTGAACATAAAAGCCAATTTCTTTCTGTACTGTAGTCTCAAACTCTTCAATTTGGTACACAAGATGTGAGTTAAACCAGTGGAAGCTACCTGGTGTGAAGGGAATTTTTCTTCTTTCTTTAAAGGAGTGCTGTATATAACAGATCAATCAGGGTAAAAAGTATTTCACTTTAACACAAAAAAGATTTTGTTGTCTGCATGTTATTCTTCTACATATCAAACTTTCAACTAAGTTGATTTTTTTTTTCTGATAGAAATACAAAAAAGTAATTGGAAAAGAATCTGTATAAACTACTTCAGTGAGCTTTTGCCCTTTGGGATAGTAAAATTACTGAAAGTAGAACTATGTAGAAAAACTTTGGAGTTAATTTTGCTACTGTTGTCTATATGATCTTGAAACTACACGGAAACCTCTTTTATTTCACATCTTTAAGTGAAATATACCAGGAATTAAACACTGTGCAGTAAAATTCTACTACATTTTCCAGGCTTGTTTTTTTTTCCTTCTCTGATTTAAGACAAAACTTGATACAAGACTGATGCCGGTTTAAAGAATACAAGCCTTTCAGTTCTGCTCTTTTTCCCCTCTTCCCACCCTTCCCTGAGCAATTTGTGCTGCTGGCTCCCCACAGCATTTCCTTTTGGGTTCCCCTACCCCAGATGGAGCACACAGGCCATGTGTGAGTTTTATGGCTCGTATATGCAATGTTCATCTGGCAGCTGCCCGGAACCAAACTGGGCACTTAAACCAAGAGCTGGAGGTGTTACCATTCAAGCTAAAAGAAAAGAAAAAAAGCCAAACTTCTACAGCTGGTGTTGTAACCCCTCACCATTAGTTACCTGTAACAGGTTAGGAACAGTCTGGAGGCTGATTTCTTGTATAGAATGCATGTTTTGACTGAAGCTCTGATGGAAAAATTTGGAGCCAATACAGTTGCTTTCTCAGGAAATTCCATTCGTACCATGTCAGTGTAATGTTTTAAGACATGTCACTTGGATTATTCAATGTTGAGTTCAAGATAGCTTTTATTTTTAATGGAAAATAGGGAATGTTCTTGGTGGGTGTGGCCAGGAACCACATACTAGAAATTTGCCACAACACCCTAGGTCTCCTCTCAGCTCTTAGGTGTGCTGATAGAAAAGTTCGGGTGTCCAGCACTTTGCCACTATTATCTGCTGGGGATTATGATATGCACTGATCTGTGGGTGAATGACTGTGAGGGGAAAAAGGAAAAGTCACTGATTAGTTTAAGCTACCATCATTTACATGCTGCTCTTCAATTAATTTCATTGATGACCCTTGTAGAACTGCCTCAAGGGAATTTGTGTCTATTTGAATGAACAGATGTGGTGGCAGCACTCTGAAATAGTAACTGACTGAAGAATCAAAGAAGCTTTCAGAGATAGAAAATTCTTGCGCCATCACACTGGGGTCCAGAGGACAGAATCTCATGATGATTTTACAGGTTATAAGGAGAGAAGAGGAGGATTATTGGAAAGTCTGTATAGGATTTGGCTGAAGCAAAAGTATACCAGCAATGCAGTCTTGTGATGCCTTTTGTAATCACTCCCAATTTAGCTGATGGGTTGGGTGCCTGCAGCTGAGAAACTGAAATAAAAGTTAGGAAATTACAGAAGGACTAAGAGAAAATCTCTGCTGCTTTGATACAAGAGTTGTGCTTGATAACCGGTGCTTCCACCAGCACCTACAATAGAGCTGAGTGGTAGCACAAGCTTGTGCCGTAAGATCAAGCACAGCCTCACTGTAATTCCCAGTGTGGCCTCACAGAGAGTTACTGCTGTGTCCTGTCCCTTGCTGATCAAAGCCCAGTGCTGATGCTAGGGTATGAAGCAAATAATTGGAATTGTACATTTCCTTCCATTAATTGCTTTCCAGCATAAGCCGTCCCCACCCCTCCCCCTCTTTTCGTTAAAATGTTTTCATTTTCTGGAACATTTCTGGTTAACTTGTTTGCAATAAAGACTTGTGCTTTTCAGGGACCAAACCAGCCCTCAACAACCTGAGAATCAGGGAGCTGAAATAGCAACAGAAGAGCTGGTCCAGAGGGTCTGTACCTCTGCTTATTGCTGAACTAAAGGAGCAGCTGCACAGCAGAGCTCTGCCAACAAGTAGCTGTAGGATGCTTTTCCTTTTCACTAAGAAGCTCAAAAATGGAAGAACATATTTTTCCTCCCCTACAACAGAGTTACCTTACTTTTACCACAAGAAATGAAAATTGGAAGCTCAATATATTACCACAGTATTCTGCTGCTGAATCAGTACTTGTTAATAATGTATAAACTATTGCTCAGTCTATTTTGCTTTAAAAATCATTTGCTGTAGAAAACATTTGCATTATCAGTTTCCCTTGCCTCCATATATTTTTCTTTAATTTTCAAACAATCTGCTTTATAAAATATACATCTCTATGTATCAGGTACCATTATTATGGAATTGCAGTGAAAGAAAACTCCCAGTATTATGATGTGATGTATTCTAAAAAAGGAGCAGCTTGGGTCAATGAAACAGGAAAAAAAGAAGTAACCAAACAGACAGTGGCGTATTCACCACGATCCAAACTGGGAACATTGCTGCCAGAGTTTCCAAATGTCAAAGATCTAAATCTGCCAGCCAGTCTGCCAGAGGAGAAGGTAACACTTTGGAAATCTTTTCTCAGCTTGTCTTGGTTTCTTTTTTCTCCCTGCTCTGGATGAAAGCTTTGTCTAATATAAAAGACTTTAAACCAGAGTAAGTTTAATAATGCTATGACTTGATTTATGGGGGACTGAATTACTTCATCTAATAAGAAGAAATAACTTTCCTTAAAAAGGGGAGCTGACACTATCAGTTGTACAATATTTCTAATGCCTGTGCATGTTTTTTTAAAAGTTACATTACATATAGCAGGGAAACTTTATGTGATGTTTGAGGGCAACTTTTAAAATGTTACATCCCTCTAATCTGTGAACACACTTCATTTGATGGCAAACTGACAAACAGTTCTAATGCTTTCTTGAGCAGAGAGGGACTTAGTGCATTTCTTATTCTTCTAGAGTCGAAATTCAGAGAATCCTATGTGCACATATGACAAAAATGCTCTGGCTCCTCTTGGCTGAGCTTGCTAGGTTTCTGGTTCTATTCACATGTGTAGTATCAATGTGAAGTGGACAAAAGAATAGGGTTTTTTAGTTCTTTATGTCCTAATTAGGGCCACATTCTCGTCTTTGATCTCACTGAGGCTTTTTGCTCCTCTTACATTTGAAGAATCCTATTGACAGAAAAATCCATGAATTCAAAGGGAGAATTTACTTTTAAGAAAACTCATCTTACAGCTAATCTAAATACACTTTAACTGATTTCATTATTTTTGTGGTTGCACATAGATAAGGAAAAAACTTGCTTCTTCTATGTTCTGTGTTGGATTTCTTAAAGCAGAATGATCTTTTGTGTCTCCCTCATTCTTTTTCAGGTTTCTACCTTTATTATGATGTATAGGACTCACTGTCAGAGGATACTAGACACTGTAATAAGAGCAAACTTTGATGAGGTATGGTTAGAAACTGCAGCTGCAGTTAATGATACATAAGGTATCAGTGGATTTGAGACCTTATTTTGTATGTTATATTACAGATGTGGGGGTTTGTATTACTCAGTGCTTTTCAGGAACAATATCTGTACTTGAGTATCTAATATGTGACTGATAGCACTAAATCTCATTTACTGGGTGAGTTGGAGGAACAAAAGCAATGAGAATGTTTTTGCTCTCTGTTGTCCAGCAGGATTAAGTTAGCAATATCCCCTTACAAGATGTTGGGCAATCCAGTACTTACAACTCGAGAAGTGTGTCCACCACAACTTTTTGAAGCTTTTTGTTGTGACTGAGCTGTCTGAAGGAATGCCTCTGAGTGCTCAGCAGAGCCAGAGCAGGTGTCACAGCAACAACAGTGGGCTCTGCTGGTCTGTTCACAATGATGCAGAGTGGTGGGGGGATTACAGCCTCCCAAATATCCCAGAGAGCCATAGCTGGAGTCTCCAGTTGCTCAGCTGTACTGCAGTGCAGCTAGGAACACACAGACACTGCTCAGCAGTTAATACCATCTCTAAGAGATGGATAAGGAGTGGACCTGTTCATATCAGACTGAAACTGAGAGGTTTCTGGCAGTGCATGAGACAGCTCTGTAATCAGAGCTGAAAAACAAAACTGGAATGCAAGCAGGTTTATATTACATGGGAAGATGGCTTCTTATCTAGGATAACAAATCTGGCAATAGAGATACTGAGGACATGACCCAAATACGATATTTGGATCCTGGGGGAAAAAAAAATCAAAGGAAATGGGTCTTTTGACTCTGTCTTCTGAACAATGGGAAAAATCCTTGCTTTTCTTCTTCTTACTGTTTAATTCTTACACTCTTCTGGTTTAAAGCTGGTTTTGCACCATTGAACTGAGCCTAGAAGTTTCCACGTATGAAAAATACATGACACATTCTGGAAATTTAGCTGGGCAAGTCTCAGAACAGTTTCTTAAGAGCAAGACACTGTATTTTATTAGGTTTATCAGGATCTATGGTAAGGAAGGGGCTGAGCAGAAGCAATATCTAAACGGCAAATACTCTTTGCTACACGTGGTGCAGTTGCTTAGTTCACTACAGATTGCATGCAGAAAGTTATTGTACATGAGTGTTGGTGTTCTGACCCCTGTGGAACTGATCATGTCATTCTCTGAATAACACCTTTATTTCCTACATTAGAATTTTCAGAGGTATATTTTGCCGTGTCTGAAATCTCTCCCCTATTTTCCTTTTTTCTTTTTTCCTTTTTTCACTTTTTCTCCACTTTCCTTCATAGTGAAGGAAAGATAAAATCCAAAAGTGTAGTGTTTTTTTCCAAAGCAAAGGCAGAAAATTATATATTGACCCATGCAAGTAATTTACTATCCTCCTCTCCTTCCCTCCCTCCCTCTACCAAAGCCTAGATTGCATTCCTCTGTACGCTGAGACAGAGTGCAAAGAGAGAGAAAAAGGTTTGACATGTGGAAGCCAAAGTTTTAAACTCATCAGCCACTGATGGAAGGTAAAAATACTGTGATTCCCATGGGTGTTTCTTCTGCAGTGACACAAAGACTCCCTGTCACCAGCCCCGAGTGTCTCCTCACCCTTTGGATGATTAACCTGTTGTGTGCTGCATTACAGTATGAGCCTGTCCAGTTAAGGAACACGCCCTGCCTGTGTTGCCCAGCTCTGGGACTAAAACAAATGCTGTGTAAGCAGGGTCACTTAAAGAGAATTTGTGGCCTTTGATTATTTTAATTTTAACATTCCTGCTTCTTCTCGTGATTGCAGGTTCAAAGTTTTCTTCTGCACTTTTGGCAAGGGATGCCTCCTCACATGCTGCCCGTACTGGGCTCTTCAACTGTAGTGAATATAGTGGGAGTTTGTGACTCAATTCTGTACAAGGCAATTTCTGGAGTTTTGATGCCAACAGTACTACAGGCCTTACCTGACAGGTAACTGACCCCTTCTAGCTCAGCAGTCTTTGTTGCATTTATTTTCTTCAAGAATGACACCATTTCTCGGACAGCTGCTTGCTGAAACCCTTTTTCTGACTTAAATCACAGTGTCATTTGAAAGGAGTTGAAGAGCTTACATGCTCCTGGAAAGATGTTCTGATTTTAACAAGACTTGTATTATGAAAAACTTAGAGAGTCGGGGGTTTTTATGTGATGAAGGATACCACCTTCTTCTTGTTTTCTTCATGTTCAGCTAAACCCAAACTAAATTCACTATTCTAATCCATGTGGTAAATTTCAGCTGGTCTCTTCCTACCTGGCATTCATATGAGTCCAAGCATTCTTGTTCACAGAGGTAAAGCAGGACAGAGATCAACAATCCACAGCAAAAAGTGTAATCATTGAGTGCAGCCAACATGTTTCCCTCTCTAGTTTTACTTGTATGCACATCAGGAAGCCATCTTCTTCTAAATAGTCCTGTACACTTTTAATATTATTTGACTGATGTGCTCTTGACATTGAGTAATTTGTTAAGAATTAAGAAGAAACTCTAGGAGTTTTTTACTGGAACTGCGTGTTTAGTCCTTAAGATTTTAAAGTGTCCCTAATCAAGGAAAATGTTTTCATGATGTTGTCCTGCTCTCCTAGGTGCATTTCAAGACTGCTAAAGTGAACATATTTTACACAAGAAATCTGCTATAAGCATGGGCTGTTCTTGATAAAACATGTACATTTTTACAGGCTTTGCCCCTCACCCCCCCAAATCTATTTCATTGGAAGGATTAAACAGAACAGCAGTCCTTTTCTCAAGCTGCTTAGTTCTTTCATAGCAAATAAGGAGAGACTTGAGTGTGAATATAGACTTTTGTAATGCATATAAAGGGCCAGATTGTGGCTATTAAGCCATAGCCTGCACTGGAGGGGGTGAAGAAGGGTCTCATTGCAATGGAAGCTCCTGAAGGAAATCTTGCTGACTCAGCCAGAATCCTCTGAGATACTTCCTGGGAACAAATTCTGGCTATCCAGAAAAGGCACTATTTAGTGAGCCCAGCAGTTGTCATCCATCCCTGTTCTCTTTGGGTATTTTTGTGGAGCAGAGCAGGTCAATGGCCATGTTTATTTTGCCACCTCTGTTGTCCGTGCAGTGTGCTAGGAGTACAAACAGAAACCTTTACTTGGTTGAAAGGGGGAAGTTCCTTGTATCTTTTCTCTCTCATTTGTGCATTTCTAGCATTGCTATGGGCTGTGCAGCTTTGTCTGTCAGAACCAACTCTTAGGATCCTCTGCACAGCACTCCACAACTGTTCCTGGGAACTGACATTTTTTACTGAGGATTCCAACAAGAAGGGCAGAATGAGCTGCCTTCCAAGTTTAACAGGAAATGATGGAACCAGCAGGAAAGGGTAGCAAGAAAGAAGAGAGAAATTTCACTTCTCTGGGGAAGTTCCAGTCCTCTGCAGGTTTAAGCAGGCAGGTCCTGCTCCACCTCCAGTTCCCCACCAGTGTGGGCTTGGCCTGAAAATTTCTCCCCCCATCATCATCACTCACTAACTGGCTCTGGCCTGCAGCAGAGTTGGTTGTTGCTCCACTTGAATATCCCCCTGGACATCTGTATAAATCTGGGCACAACGGAGCTGAAATCCGAAGCTTGGTTTATTGTCGTCTTTAAACAGTTGTGATTTCATATTTGTAGAGAGTGGGAATGATTTTATTTAAAGTAAAAATACTGTTTGTAAGTATCAAAGCAATGCTGTACAGAGATGGGAGGTTTTGAACATGGTGATAAATTTTGCTTTTCTTGCAAAAGTTGTCAGAAGTTTTTCCTCATGCCTACAAACCAAAATATGTTAGCAACTCTGCATAATAATGAGTTGTAAATAAATGACTCATGGTTTTCACACCTTCACAGCTTTTACAGAACAATGCACAGAGTAAACATGATGTGATGTTGTGATTCCCTTTTTCAGTTTGACGCAGGTGATCCGAAAGTTTGCAAAGCAACTGGATGAGTGGCTGAAAGTAGCTCTCCATGATTTGCCAGAAAACCTACGAAATATCAAATTTGAGTGTATGTATTGCCCAATCTCTCTCCTGTTAAACTGGGACAGACAATGTTTATTGATTACAAATTAATTGGAAGTGAGACTGTTCTTTGGGAATTAAAACCTGTCATCATTATAAATCTTGCATTCACTTAGAATCTCCACTTGCCAATGAGAACCAATCTCATTTAGTGAAATAAGGCACTGCTCAAAATGAGAATTTCTTTTTCTTTCTTGTGGATTCTGATAAGAAATTAATTTTGTTGATAGTAAGCAAACACTAAGGGTGATATTAGGCAAAGAAAATTATTAAACAAACCTTTAAGCTAGCAGAATTTGAATACAGCTTGAGGCCCTTACTCAAAAAAGTGCCAGAGTTAGAAATGAAGGAGATCAAATTACCCTGTCACCACAGGAAAGGGCACTAGTCCTTTTCAGACGTGCTTTGTAGATGCCTGCAGTGCACATCACCTATTGATAAAGCCTGCTTTATTTCACAGCTCTCAATTCTTTGCCTTTCATGAGCACTAAATTCCACACCACAAAGTTAAAGGGGAAAAAAAAAAACTAATTTAGGAGAAGGATTAACTATTTTGATCAGCGTGGAAAATTAGGTGTATATGTTACTGAGAACAGTCAGGATGGAAGTTGGAACAACTAATTTCAGGGTGGGTTTGAATTGTTTGCTAATTTATTTTAAAAATTAAACAAAGTCAGAACTGAGAATATGCTTTACCACATCTTTTTCTGTTCAAAAATATTGGGAAACTTCAACAGCAAAATCTCTGCCAATCTTACAGGCAGACAGAAAGAGATGGACAGTGCACTCTCTAGGCATTCTCAAGCTGTAGTTTTTAACTGCCTTTATGTACAGTATGGAGGGAAAGCTCACTCTGTGACCACATCTAACATGTCTTTGGATAGATCTGAAAATCTGGTCCTTTTTATATAAGGAAAATATTGTGTGCACCCTGCCTTTTACATGAGCCTTTGTTGCTTCTGCAGCTATTTCCCCCTCATCAGAATTTGTGATAGGGTACACAGCCAGTGGAAGTACTGACAGGAGGAACTGCAAGCTTTCGGTCATTTTTGTAGTTCCCAAGTTGCTGATTTCAGACAAAAAAAAATGCAAAATGCAACATTTTAAAAGCTCATTTTCCAAGGATAGGAAATATCTTAATACAAGCTCTTGCAAAGAGCTAAACTGGGAACAGAGGACTAGCAACTGTGGACCATTTCAGCCCATAATGTATCAGTATGTCATGCAATTGCTTTCAGAAACTTTGATCAAATTCCACCTGAAACTGGATCAGAATTTAGCCCCTACTAGTCAAGTTAGAAGACTCCTCCAAAACTTGATTGCACAAAGATTTAGCAACCTCTTCTCATTTGCACACATAATGGAAATAGTTTTGTTATTTTATGTGCACTTATTCTTGCACCAACATTTTTCTTTCTATTAAATAGTTCTTTCTGTTCTCCAGTTCCTTTGTGTAGCAAGAGAAAATTTGCTATGCTGAGCAAGAAAAGCTTTCCATTGTCCTCTGTTTCTCTTGTCATCTCATTATTCACAGCATCTATAAATAATTGCTTGTAATATGCCTCTGTAAAATTGATTGAGCATCCAGATTTAAGGGTTTAGGTCAAGGTTTAAATTAAGTTAAAACTGAGCTAGTTGAGCACATTTTATGTAGCCACAATTTTGTATAGGATACTGGATATATTTTTTTGGTTGTTCTTGTTTAATTTACTACTTTCTGAAGTAATTATCCTTATTTAGCACAGTATATTAATATGTATTTCTTCTTTCCTGCAGTGTCCAGAAGATTCTCACAAATACTACGGCGACAGACATCCCTAAATCATCTCTGCCAAGTAAATATTTCACTTACCCAAGTTTAATTAATGCCATTTTTACTGAGTTTTCAAATAATTTTATGAATTGACAGGTTGGATTTTATTCAGAGAAGAAGATCACATTATCAGTTTGTCTCCTGGTATGGTGTGGCCACCTCTACAAAATCAAAAAGTAATCATTGAAAAAAGCCTTTCTAGACAACTGGCAACCGCTGATCATTAAGTTCAGTAGGGTACTTTTATGAAAGTTATATTATTTGATTTGAAGAAATGGTTCATTTCCAGGAAATAAATGAGACATTCAATTTATTTAATAATAAATGCAGTTTGTATTAGGCCAGTTGCAAAGCAAGAAAAATTTCTACATGCCCAACAATACATTCCAAGTATAATTGTATATTATAAATCAAATACAAATTCGTAAAAGGGAAAACAGCTGAACTGGGTTTTAAATAGACATGTTCCTGTAACCATAGCAAGCGAATATAGAAGCTGCTCCAAAATGTTTGGTTTTCATCAGCTTACATCCAAATTACCTGTAAAAAGTCATGAAGCCAAATTCTGTTTAGTATGAAAAGGGAGAGAATGCATTGAATTAATTACTGTTTCATCCATGTATTGGAGGGGATAGTTTTTTTCCCTGTCACCTGAAAGCTGCACTTTTTGGAGACATATCCAAAACCCCAGGTTAACCCTCTGTGGGGTGAAACCCACAGACAGAAGCTCTAGGGAAATAAAAAAACTCCTGCAATGAATTTTTGGTAGGTTTCTGCCACCATTATTTTAGTGATGGAGACAGAGATACTCGTGCTGCCTTCCCCCAAATACCATAGATCATCACTGAATTCTGGAGGTCCATAGCAATTCAGAGGATACAAAGATAAAGAAATCAAAACCTTCTGCATCAAACCTGGGATCAAATCTCCTAGAAGGAGGAATCTTCAAGTGCATCACTCCCTTGGGAAAGCTGATAACCTTGGTGTGTGTTATCATCTCTGCTTAACTTAGAGAGATCTGTGTACATGACCATGGCCTTGTGTCACTTCCTTTACTCTCAGTCCATCCTCCCCATTACCAACAGCACATCCTTGTCTCAACCAGCCAAGACACGGATCTGATGAGGAGGCCAAGGAGCTTTAACGTTTTCATGTGGCTGAGGGAAGAATGAGAATCTTCATAGATTGGGAGAGGGGAGGGTGCAAAAACCCCTGAGTGGGGTTTGTTTGTTTGGTATTGGTTTGATTTTTCTTGTTGTTTTTTTTGTTCTGAACTGAGGCTTGAAAAGAAAACCAGTAGAGTTGTTAGAGATTGAGGTGTCTAGCAATGGCAGCATCAGACTAGTGCTGCTCATTCGGTTTTGTGGTGGATGCAGTCAAAATACTTGGAGTTGATTAAAGTAGGCAAAATGACTGAAGAGTTCTGTTGTTAGAGGGCCCTGTAATGTCCATAAGACATCAAGCTGGTGGGTGGGGGTCCATGAGGAGAATCAACTTAGTGAGCCCAGTTAAGGAAGCGTAAAAGGGGATAAAGCCTATTTTTTAACCTAATAAAGCATGAACTAATGAATAGATCGGATTGGATTACAGGCATCAAGAACAGTGATCCACAGTGCAGACATCACATTTCAAATGCTGGAGGACTGGAGGAATGTGGATCTGAATAGCATTACCAAACAAACCCTCTATACCATGGAGGACTCACGGGAGGAACACAGAAAGCTCATCATACAATGTAAGAGCAGAATCTTCAAATAAAGCCAGGTGAACTTGGCTTCCTGCTGCAAACAAAGCTCAGAGAAAGTAGTGCTGGTTTTGCAGCCACTCGTTTGCTTGGAGGCTTAAGATAAATATAGACATTTACCAAAACGTAAGGCAAAGCCCTGTCAAGGTCTTATGTTTTGGGGCATAGATCTGGCCACTGCTCCTTGATGCTTTCCTTTCTAGTACGCATCACAGCCAATGGCACAAACTTACACCCAAATTCAGCAGGATTTTTAACATGAACCTGAGCAAACTAAATTTGTGAGTTAACCATTGAATGTGTGAAAGTCCGATCTTTCCTGCTGTAGAACTGCTGAATTGTCTTTTGAATGGCTTTGACACTTAAGTGGTTGTGTATTTGAGTCCCTTGTAAACTTGTTTATAAAGAGCTCCTTTTTACACAGTGTTTTCATAACCAAGAGCATTTGATGGGATAAGCTTTCACCCTGAACTTCCATGACTAAGTAGAAGCCCCATATGGGACAAGCTCATTGGCTGAATTAGCTTCTGTCTAGTACAGTGAAGGGTATGGGCTTGAAATTGACTTTGGAGGTCTTGGCAACTGGTTTTACAATTCAATATCTTTTGCAAATACAAAATATTCCTTCCATCATCCAGAAGTGTTGCATAGTTATAAGCTCAGGTGTAACCTGAAGCACACTGAGTTTTGTTGTTTTGAGGCAACATAGCTTTGTCTTTAACATCCTTCACATAAACTCACTTCCTGTGAACCCACCTGTTGTATTGCCATCCCTCTCTTGAGGGAGACCAGCCATCTTTTACCCAGAATCTGCCTGAACAGGGCACAACCCAGGCAACCACTCGTGGGAGCCCAGGAAGGGTAGGTTTGCTAGTGAGGCAACTCTTTCACAGAGTGGATGGGAAGACAAGGGGTGACACCTTCACATGTACCCTGGACTTTACAAGGTTGACTTTGGCAGTCATCCCACCGTGTTAACACTTGAATTCTTCTCCTCGGCTCAGGGATGGGCCTTGCATTCTCTGCTAGTTCTGTTTTCCAGGGAGAAGTTCTTATTCTTTCCTCTCTTTCTTAACCCTTGATTCATCTCATGGCCCTCTTCCCTTTTGAGGAGATAGGAACTCGACGTGGCAGCAAACTTTGGTAGCATACAGTGACACCGAAGTCCAAAAGCTGAGTGAGTCCTTCTGTCGTCTGTTGTTTTCAAGACCTATCCAACATCCTACTACTGGTCAAAAAAAAGTTTTCAAAGTTATACTCACTAGTAGCAGCAACATTTTTGGCTACCATTCAGAATATCCTTAATGTTTAAGGAATCTTCTTGTGTATGTAGTGTTAGCGTAATGAAACCAAACTGAATTTTCCTGAATGCTGTTGGATTTCTGGAAGCTTTTTTTGCATTTTAGGCCTATATAGTCCAATAAGAAGTTAGTCAGAACAGTAAGCTAATAGCTGCATGAGATAGGAGGCCAATGAGGTGTTCAGATACATATAGAGAATATTCTAGAACTTAGATATTTTTTTCCCCGTCTTTGATGTTTATTCTACTTGACCAAAGATTTTTTACTATGACTTATACGGCATCAATTAAAGGCCTGTTTTCATACTTTTGTTACTAATAATCAAGGAAGTACAATTTCAGCTACTATAACTAAAGAAAAAAACCCCATGTTTATAAGCCTGTAAACAGAGAGAAACAGAGAAAAATCACTGGGTATAAGAGAACCTCTTTCCTGTTCTGCTGGACTACCTATCTCTGACATGATTTCTGCTTTATTCCCTCATTCTCAGATCCTGTTGAGGTATTTTTAACAATTGCTCAAGGCTAAACATCTGATTTTCTCAAATAGGGTGTTGTACACAGTTGCATTGCTCCAGCAGCAAAGCAGGCAACTGATTTGTTTTTCTGCTCTTGCTCCCCTCTTTGCACAGCATATGAATTACTTCATCTGTTGTATCAGGCAGTTTTTGTCCAGCCAAATACTCAGGTAAGGAGACAACATTTAGATTTCTCTGTGATCCTGTTCTGAATAAAGGGAAGTTTCCCATTCAATAAAAGAATGAAAGAAGATAAGGGTGGTCCAAACATAATTTCCCTTCTTCCTCAACAAATGTTTCTGGTAACTCAGCCTTTCCAAGTCTCAGTTAAAGTTGTAGTCAGGTGTCTAGCAAATGCATTCCTGCTCATCCTCCTGATCCAACAGGATCAGGGAGGTTGTTCTTTGCATTATTTTTGGATATCCTCTCTGTCTCATTTCCCTAGCTATCATCTCTACACTTTGCCTCTTCCACCTCCACCCTTTCCACTATCTTGCCTATGGAGAGAAATTCCTTCCTTCTGTTATTTATAATTAGTTGTAAATGGAATTGCTTAGCACATTGAAATCATCCTGTAACACAGCAGGCAGAAAGTGTCTTTCTTCTTGACCTACTGAGCCATATATCTTAGCCGAGCTAATGAATAGTTTGTTGAGGTGTCAAAGCACGTGATTCTTTGTCTTCCAGCCATTGGTTCTCATATATAAACGAGACTTGAAGTTCTCAGGACTGCAGCTGAGTGACTTCTTTTAACTTTTTGTACTAAAATATTAATATGTGTACTTGGAAAAAATCAAAAAGTATGCAGGTTGCTATTTGCAAACTCTTCTTGATAATGAGTATTTCTGCACGGATAGTAATTTGTTTTAAAGAAGGAGAAGTTTATGGACATTCTTTGTGTGTGTGTGTGTCTGGCATTGCAAATAGATGATTTGCAGCAGTTAAATCATGATTTTGCAACTAAAGCATTATACAGATGAGCGCCCTATCAACAATACTCATTCACTTGGTGCCTTGAAGATTCTTTATGCATTTCTAAATCAATTTCATGCATGACATTTTTTCATCACTGGGGTCAAGGCCTAGTTTCTCACTCTTCATAGAGAACACGGTAAACATTTCACTTCTGGGCACAGCAGACAACATAAATAAAACCACTAATTTTAAAAAATAGCTTCTGATTGGCTCGCATTAAAATAACACTTTCAATGACTGCATCACTTTCAGTATAAACAAAATAAGAGACCCAGCAAACTTTTTGGGTCAGCAGCAAGAAAGATGCGTTTTTTTCAGTTAAGCAATCTATTATAAAAAATATACCATAAACTCGTGATTCTTTTGGTAGCCCTTTGTGATTTGTTTTTCTTTTGTTTGAAACAGAATCCAAGTTCTAAGGTGGGCTTTTTTTTTGTTTTGTTTTGCATGCCAGTGTATCAGGAGTTTGATCACCTTTTGGAGGAGCAGTCCCCCATTGAGTCATACATTGAGTGGCTGGATTCCATGGTGGACAGATGTGTTGTAAAGGTTGGTAAGGAGGAGTGAGTCACTGATGTTCATTATGAGCTTTATTCAGGTAATACATTTTCAGAAAAAGTAAAAATAATTACAAAAAAAAAAAAAAAAAAAAAGGAGTTGGGAATGAGCAGGATTAAAGCAGTAGTTGGCAAAATCTCACTGGTTTTCCTGGAGAATTGCTCACATTCAGGATTTGGCTTTATTCTGCTCTTGTTTATTATATTCCAAAAGATGGTATTCAAAAGTGAACGGGGTTGAGGTTTACAATCAAATCAGTATTTCAGGGATATGGAGAGATGAATTCAGAGTCTTCCTAATGGTACAGTGCAAAGAAAAACATAACCTAGCCTTTTAAGGTTTTAATGAAAAGGATATTTAAGCTAGCTAATTTATATACAGTCAAATGTAAGGATGAAAGTCTACATTACCATTCAGTCAAGGACACATTTATGTTCCTTTTGACCTGATATGGAATACCAAGGACTTGTATTTTATTTTAATTAAAGTGCATGCAGAAACCTACTAACAAAACTTTAAAACGTACTTTCAAAAGTGATCTGGCATCACCATATTTTTACACAGAGCATGAAAATACATAGATTACTATTTTAACTTCTTTTACTTCTTAGTAGTAGGAAGTTCTGATAGAATTTCAACTCTTTGTTCCAGTTGTTAGAGTTCAAAAGTAAAACCAAAACAAATCAAAATATGCTGCTTCTCTGTCTGCTGCAAAATAGCCATATAGAAAACAGATAATTCTCCAGATTACTTGAAATACTTTGATTGTTTTGGGGAACTTGTCTTCTAGTCAGTAGCATGCAATTTGAAATTCAGGCCAGAGCTGTTAATTTTAATGAAGAACTTGACATGAATTTTAATAAATTAATTTTAATAGTTGATTCAGTAACTCACATATGGCTATAATAAATACATTTTGAAGACTTAATGCCTAAATTGTGCTTTCTGGAAAGTATTTTTCCTAGTAAAATGACTAAGTGAATTCACAAAAGTAAAAACAAGAAAGAACAAAAAACTTTATATTCAATGTTAAACCTCATTTGAAATAATACAAATTTGCAGTGTAGGTCAAACGTTATTGATTATAAATTGCTTTCTTGAGTAGGAGGCAAGAAAGAACATGCTAGTAATTAGGCTAAGATGAAGATCAGATCAAATTTCTTTGCAGTCCTTTTATCATGTATAAAGGAGATCCAGTCTTGAATAATACTTTATTGTTTCCTCTTTCTGAAGGTTGTCCATGGTTTTAAGGTGGATTTCTGTCTAATGCCATTTTGAGTTTCGGCTTTTTAATTTGTAGTGTATATTTTAATGTGAAGGTGGTGGTAAGTAGTTTTTCAGTATAAAAAGAGAAGGTGGATATATGCATCATTCAGCTGTCTTGCTGGTAGAAATAAAAGTGTCTCCATGTCAGACACATCTCTCTTCTTGCAGGTAGCTGCCAAGAGACAAGGCTCTTTGAAGAAAGTAGCTCAGCAGTTTCTCCTGATGTGGTCCTGTTTTGGCACTCGAGTGATTCGGGACATGACTTTGCACAGCGCACCCAGCTTTGGTACTTGGATTTTGTTGTAATAATTGCATGCCACAGTCCAAAAAACCCCCAAATAATCTGTATGCTAGCTGGTAATGTACATCTTAAGGGAAAACATGACCAGTTTTCAGGTGTCCAGTGCTCTATTAAGAAATAGGTTGGGCTTTTGACATTTGGAAATAATGCTCAGACATGTCTGTCTGCAGCCAGGGGAGATGAAAATGTTGCTGCTTTCTTGTGTTTGCTGTCAGGAGCTGCAGGGATCAGTCACAGGGCAGTTGGGGGAGCCCATTACAGGAGCATTCCCTAATGCACTTCAGTGTAAAGTGAGCCTGCTTACCCAAACCATTCTGGCCACGAGTTGAGCCAAGAAAGATGACTTTGTGCTGAAGTGGATGAAAAGCTCTCCAGTGAAGCACTTTGCCAGCTCTCTTCTTAAAGGACATAGCATTTGAAACTGGTCTTTGCAAATTGAGTGTGCTTCTGTCACCTCTAGAGTCTCTTCCATTTCTTAAGAAGTCAGTCAGGATTAAAAAATAGATTTTTATTTTTTAAATGAAAAATCATGTTGCTTTTCTACACTGTTTGAAAGGGGGCTTTGTCCACGGATACAAACAGTTCAGATTAAAATCAGCTGAAAGCCAGAATGACTCAACTGGTGTGCCATGAGTGTGAACATTCAGTCACTTGGGACCAGTACTGTGCTTGAGATGCTTTTTATAAATGCACATTCATTTGAACATGTTTCTATAAAGATCAATAAAGAATGATTTTATATGTGTATTGCATTAAATACCCATATAAATAAATTACCCGTTTTTATGGGTATTGCATTGCATAAATATATAATTGTATTATATGGGTATTGAACAACTGCAAGGTTTTCTGCAGGCTGAGCTTTGATGTCCTTTATGCTTTTAGAACTGTCTAATAGCATGAATTTGAAAACTGTCAGTGAGATAAGATATTTTAAATATGTTTTATATATTTATAATACATATAATATTTATTTATAAAACATGTTTCTATTTTAATCTGAAATTACTTTTATTTCCATTTTAAAATGGAATCAGGATAGTAAGCATGATCACCCCAAGGTGATTACAATTTTCAGCAAAATACACAAACCTGTTCAGGTGCAATGCTTGTGGAAGCAGAAGGAGCCCTGAAGTTTTGAATATCAAAAGTGTCATAAACTCTATTTAGCCATGGACACAAATTTATAATAATCTACATTAACAATGCTATTCTTTCACTGCAAAGCCACTTGACATATTGGTAATGAATTAGAGTTGTACAAGATCCAAAAGAATAACCCCTGAATGTAAAAAGCTCAGAGCTAGATGGCAGAAACTTTTCTGCTCTTAATTTATACAATTCTTTCTAGCTTTTCAGACTTATATATCAATTAAGTGAATTCTGTGGAGAGAAACAATGAGTGATTTACTCTTCTAAATATTTACATATATATACCTTTGTTCTTAACTTAGATAAAATGTTTTGCTTTTTTACTGCATTGGGAAGTGTTTCAGTGGACTGATTGTTAATTATTTTTTCCACCTCAAACAATATGTAGACTCAGGTGCTCACAGCATAATTTTTTTTTAAGTGAAATAATGTGTTAGCTAGTGGGATCTTTACTATGTACAGGCAAATAAACTTTTACCTTTGAAATAGATGATTCCAAAATCTGATTGAAGGAAGTGGTAATACCTGGCACTGGAGTGACTGGCACAAAGATTTGATCTGCAAAGCTTTTAAGCATGGTGACACAGGCAGGTTGAAACAATCTCTGGCAGAAAAAAAAAAAAAAAAGCTGCTCTCTTTCTTGCTCCCTCTCTTTTTCTCTCTGCCTGCCTCCCTCCCTCCCTGCCTCCCTCTTTCCTGCTTATGCATATCAAAGGCACAGTTGGTGGCTATGTTTGGGTTATGCACCCAGTGTATAAAGTAGCTAATTAGTAATAGAAACTCCATGATTTTCTCCAGATCTGGAAATCTCACTGTTGTTTTGCTACTTACACATAATTGCTGTATCTCTTAATAGATGCTGATACTTACTGTGTCTTAGCTAGGCATTGCCATGATTTCTGTTAACCCCTGAAAATTAGAGCCAAATGCTATTTTTTGTTGTAACTACAGTCTCTTGAATGACTTCTTACCTCTTTCTAAAGAAGTGATTGATTTTCTGGCTACAACTGGATCCACATCTGTACTTAAATATAGACTTGAAAGAACCCAACCATTTCATGCGAGAAACAGTAGCTTGCAAACACAGAATAAATTATGGTACATTGTGCTGAATAGCCATTCACTGTGAGGCTGAAATGCATGCCCTGATATCGGTTTCACTCTATAGCTCACATTTCATTTGACTTATTTAAAAATATAAAAATATTGCATTCATTGCATTCAGTACCAAAACTTCGTTTGTCTGGTGTCTTTCACGCAAATTCTGGGCTCAAAAACTCTATGCAGAGCTTAAAAATACACAGTGGGAGAAATAATAGGAGAGGAAGAGAGAGATTCAAAAGAGTGACAAGGACACTGGAGTGTTTTTAAATGCTGCATTCAGTATTGCCAACCCCAAGTCTTCAAAATAAAGTATTAGACCCCCCTGAAACAAAGACATTTTTAAAAATAGCAGATCTTGGATTCTTGTTTTTTTTGCTTGCTAGCATTTAGTGTTTAGAGTTCACACTTCCAAATATTTTTATGAAACTACAAGCAACTTCACTTTTTTTTTTTAAATGAAGGCTGAATAAGGATTTTGACGGAAAATAGTAAATACCCTGAGCTTTATACCACTACATGAAGTTTGCCAGCATTTTAGCCTGTTTTTCTTACCTTGAAGTTACTTATTAGTAGTAGCTGCATTAGAGTCAATAGGAATTTCTCACTGGAAACCTGTAGTCAGGAGAAGAGTGAGCATTTTGTGGAGATTCTTGAAAATCTAGGTTTCCACTGAGGAAATCCTAGGTGAGTGACAAGCTGCTCAGCCACATCTTCTGTCTATTGCACTGCTAAATCAAATAGGACTTTATTTAACAAGACTTTGAGCACAAAGGGTTTTTAAAAACAAGTTCTCTGCACTAGTTAAGTGAACATCCCCACTTTTCTACCCTTGCAAGTCTGGGGGAACCTGTTACCATTTTGATCTGCTTAGTCACATGAAACAAATGAAGAACTGGACACTTCAGGTTCACCAGCAGCCAGAGATTTCCTCCCCATAGCAAAGGTGTTGCAGTCAGGTGTGTCCTGTTTCTGTGCTGATTTGCCCAAGAGCACAGGGGCACATCTTCACCTCCCAGGGTGTGCACCCAGCTCATACCAGTAACAACAAAACCATGCAAGCGTGGAGGGACAGAACGAAACACAAAGACCATCGGGATCACAAAGAAAAAGAATGTGCTCAGAGTCATCCTGAAAGCTGAACTGCCAGCTAGAATTGAATAAGAGTATTGGGTCTTTCAAGCCACTTCTGCCCCACAGCAGCATGTTTGAGTACAGAACTTGGAGTAGGGGTAGTTATGCTTCATTGTGATAAAAGATACTTCAAGATAAACCTAACTTTCCTGTGAAGAAACCAGTCATTATGAAATTTGATTGAATTTGAAACTTGTTTGATCTTTTTCCCATGAAAGTATTTCTCCTCAAATGCAATAATGGAATTTCCAATGGAATACCTCCACATGACGTATTTCTGGGGGGGCTGTTGTCTGGCAGTAGTTAGTCTCTGTCTCCAATGATGCCTTTTCTCTTTAAGCTAGCTGCTGGATGAGCTATTATTTTAACCTCACAGTACATGTACTTGTCAGAGTTACTTAGTGACTTAAATGAGCATGTGTTAAATACTCCATGCACATCTAAGTGAACAAAAGGGCTTTAAAAAGTCAAACTCATGGTATGGGTCCTGTCTGGAACTATTACAGGTGTTTGATGTCATGGGGTCTACTGAACAAAAAAATCCATCTTGATACTTATCAGTGTTCTCCTGCAGATGGGGGTTTGTTCTTTCAGGAGGGCACTGCACAATGTCCCATCTCTGATGTTTTTCTCCTCTTACTTTCCCCCCTCCCCCAAAATGCATCTGTGGTCTCTTCTTAAACACCTTTCTTTTTTCTTGTGATTTGTGATCTAGGGCAAACATTTCTTCACCATCCCTGATATGTGTTCTTTATAAATTACGGGAAGCAACTCCCTTTCTATGCAGGCAGTTCAGAAAATTCAAACCAGGATGTGTCACTGAGGCAGCCACTTTGAGTTTCTACTTCTGACAGAAAGTGATATGTCCTTTAGACAATAGGAAACAATTCTACTGTAGTGCAACTGTCCAAACTGACATTCAGTGCTAATATAGGAGGAGAGGAATCCTTCAAGTTTCAGCTCTCAGTTAGGTAGTTTACTTGCACTCTAAACCACAACTGGTCACAGAAGCCTGTATAAATCCAGGAATGAACAGTTTGCTACTCCCTGGTTTTACTCTGACCTCTCTTACATTGAGTAGGAGAGATATTTCAGTACATGGAGGCAGCCTTATTCAGGGCTGTTTGTGCTGGGTACCGTAATAATTGGTTTAATGAGTGTATTGAAACAGTCAATGGCTTTTTTGTTTGCTCACTTTATTACCAGGGTCTTTTCACCTTATTCACTTGATGTTCGATGACTACGTATTGTATCTGCTAGAATCACTCCATTGTCAGGAGAAAGCTAATGAGCTAATGAGGGCAATGAAGGGAGAAGGAAGCACAGGTGAGTCTGTTCTTTTATTCATTATTTGTTGTTTTATTCCACTGGTTTCTCTATTTTTATGTTAGGAGATACCCTTATCTAACCTGCAGAGGATTATCTGGGAGCAAAGTGGTTTTCACTTCTATCGTCATGTGAAATAAATAATTTGGGAGGTATCCCTGGTTAATACATTCTGAAAGAGAACTGCTTGTTTCACAACATCACTCTGGATGTCTGAAGCCCCATTCCCAAGCACTTGGTGTTTCAGTAAAAAATTTTTGTACTGAACCTCTTATCTTGGTTAATCTTTCTAAGCTACCATGAATTTCAGTGGGCTCGGTGTTAATAAGTTCACGGATATCAGTGGATTTGTACCAGTCTAAATAAGAGGAAGAGATAGCAGGAGTGAGAAAAGACAAATGGCAGAGCTGCTGTTTCTGGTGCACTTAGGTTCTGAGTGCCTGTTCAGAGGATATGTTGAGTCCTGCTCCACTCCACGCTGCCCTGCCAGAATAGAAGCAAGCAGGAATTGCCTTTAGTTTTTTCCACTCTGGGCAACCCCTTGTAATTAGAGGTCCTCAGTGATCTTCCTTACTTGCATTGCCCATTAAATTTGGCAAATTAAGCCTCTCTATCACCTTTGAAAGTTTCATTCTCCATTTTAGCTGTGGCTTAATTTATCACCCTGTAGATTTATGGTAAGAAAAACATTTCAGTGATTAGGGTGCTATCTTCTGTATGGTGAAAGGCATGAATTTAATTCATTGCCCTGCCATAGCCTCTTGGGTTTTTGACAAACAAGTTGCTTATTCTTGCATATTTTCCACATACCTTTAGCAGCTAAAACTACCCAGAATATCCTCCTTTTATAGTCAACAAAGAAAGAAAATCATGGCCCAAAGCCATAGGAATGCTCTGGAAATTCCTGTTTCTTTCCAATGTCTCTAGAAGGTGTAGGAATGCCTAGCTCAGACTCAACTCCTAATTTTAGACATGTGATAGTACATTATAGGAGCCTAACACTTAAGCTGTCCATGTACCAGTTCCCTGCCTATGCAACAGAAAAAATAGCACTTTCCTTTAAGAGCTCTTCTGAAAATACCCTGAAGGTTGTAATGGTGAATATTATAGAAGTACTTCTTTCAAGATTTGTGGTTCTTGCTCTGTATTTCCTGAAATACACTCTACTGCTTGCAGTATTTTTTTTCTTAAGTTTCTCAGTGTTTCTTGACTCTACCTTTAGCTATGTTTGATGGGTTTTCTCTCATTCTGCAGCAGAAATACGAGAAGAAATTATTCTGAGTGAACCAGCTGCTCCAACTCCATCCCCAGCGCCGTTCTCCCCAGCTAAATCTGCCACTTCTGTGGAAATGCCCTCTGCCCCATCACCCATCAGCAACCAGTCCCCAGAGTATGGTGGCATAACAGCTACTACAGGTGGGTTGGCTTCAGGCAGATAAATCTGCTTGAAGGTGGCTTTTGCGCTAAAAATCTCCTAAATTTAGCCTTAGAACATGATGTACTGCATTGCAATATATAAGAAGCCTTCTCAAGACAGAAATCTGTTCTCACTGTATCCACACATGATGTGCAGTCTTCCAGGAAGAAGATCTGATGTTTGGATGTTTTATTTGCCTGAAGGAAGTGTGCCAAATCTTTCCATTTTAGTGAGGTTTGCAAAATCCCAGATCACTAGTGGTTCAGGAATTCCTAGCTGGTAAAGTGGGAGATGGATATCTTTCAACATGTTTAACACCCTAATATGTTTAAATAGCTGTGCAATTGGAAATCTTTTACACATTGCTGATAACTTTCATCAATCAATGTTAGAGATTAGGAATTACATGTTTGAAGCCTGTTTTCAGTGTTATACTCTATTATGGCAACAGATAAGGTTGTTGTATTCTGGTGGGCCCACAAACTAAAAAAATTTGCACTTAAGGGACAAATTAAACTTTTGGGTAGAATTGACAGAAAACAATAAGCATAAAACTAGCTCCTTGTTTGGGCTGTATAAATGGCTGACATCCTCTTTTTGCTCTAGAGCAAAACTCATTACCATCCCAGGACAGTCTGTCTGTATGATCAACAGACAGCATTCTCTTAATTCATGGAAAGAAAGGCAGAAACGTGAATGACTTTCAGAAGGCATTTCAGGCAGTGAAATTCCAGCTTTGCTGCTCCTCATTGAAAAGGATGTACAATCAGAATGTGGAAACTATCGCTTTTGTGATGTACTAGAAAAGTTACAAAATCTTCTTGAAAAAATGTCATAAAGTGATGATTTACCACACTAGAGAATTTGGCAGTGGCTAAAGAACTAATAAATCTTTCTGAAAAATGTTTTTCATGTTTTCAAAGGCGCCACAGGGAAGCACAATGCATGTTGTGCTGGAAAGAGATTTAAAAATATTTGTCCCTACATCACAACTTGAGATTTTTCACTGTTGGAGGCAATACAATGGTTAGGAGGGAAATAAGAAGTTATTACCCCCCAGGACAGATAGACAAGAGTCAGATAATTCCTAAACAGGGTAGGTGACCACACAGCTTCAGTCCAGGTGTCAGTGGAGGTGGGGAGGATCTTTGACTCTTGTTGAAATGTTGATATTGCGTGGAACTTGACCTGTAGGCATCGTGGGATGGTTGTGATGCCAGCAGGGCTGTACACAGAAATTAAGGACTGAAAAGAAGGGAACTGTATGTTCTTCAGGGCCATTGACTGGAATGGAGGTCTGAGGGACTTGTATTTAGGCTGCAGATACTGAACTCCATGTGACTGCCATATAACAGTTAACCAAAAGCCATTTGCCCTTGTCCTGTCACTACAGGTCCTTGTAAGAAGTCCCCTTCCCTTCAGGTACTGGAAGACCACAGTTGTTCCCATACTAGAAATTTTTAGGCAGGAAAGCTATTTCTGATTATTTTAGTTATTTTTTCCTCAGCTTTTCATTTTTAGTTTTTTTTAAAGGCTTTCATTTAGTTGAATTGGATTTGTCTGGTGCAGTCTCACTTTTGAGACTGTGAAAATCATTTTTGTCTTGCCAAGCCAAATTTGCCAATGCAAGTAATGCTCTGGTTAACATTAAATATGAATATGTTTCTTAATTTGAGCAATTAGTAATTCCTCTGTTTCCCATATTCATCATGTAGATGGACTAGTTTTAGTTTGCTAACCATTACACCCTGGAATGGAAGCGCTTATTCACATAAAGCAACACAAAATAACAAATGTGTCTCAGCTAGAGGAAATTGCTACACTTTAAAACAGGGGTGCTGAAGATGTATTACACACACTCAAACTACTTTACAAACAGATCAGTGGCATTACATAGATTATTTTGAAGCAGGAACCTCTGTTCTGGAAAGATCACACTATTGATTTTCTTATGTGTTTTTTATGAGGTAAATGTAAAATTCCACAAATGCTTTGCAGATCTTGAGAACTAGTTCCATTGGTCACCATTAGTTCTCAGTTTCCCAATTTAGGGCATCATTAACTCTTTCTTGCTTGTGACATTAGCAATAAAAGTTAACTATTAAACTTGTTTTTTAACCTTTTTGCCTTCAGCCAGTGGTCAGTTCAAAACCAGCAAATTAAACTGTTGCAATGACATGATACTGAGCAAAAGAAAGGTAAATCCTATGTATCACACTCTGTGGCATCTGTCATGGCACCACTAACATTTTATTTAAAACTTTTTGTTAGGTTACTGGACAGTTAAAAGGCTAATTAGCCTCCATCCTTTCTAAATCACAATGGCCAGATTAATGATTGTTCAAACTGCAACAGTATTGTAATAAAAGTGATAGCTGTACGGCTGACTATGCTGTTCTCTCTTAAAGCCCCTCTTAAAGCTCTGATTACTCATTTGCCAATGCAGTCATTTTTAGACAACCCAAAATGAACTCTGAATTGTTAGTTCCTAATATCTCAGTAAACTACAGAGTTTGCTGTTCAGTTTTAAGAAATCTATGCATGAAATAAGTCCTCAGGTCAGCAATGGTCATTAAAAGTCACTGTTCTTCCAAGTCTGGGCTCAGTATTAAAGTTCTGGGAATACTGGCATAGATCTAGTACTTCTCATATTTGTGTGTATGAGTAGAACAAATTTTTGGTTCTTTTCCTAAAGCTTCAGCTCCTGGACTCATATGAGTATTTGAGAATATCAGCTCTTGCTCAACAACCAGAGTTTAATTCTCATAGCTGCAGAGTGCAAAACTGAAAGGTTTCAATTTCAAAAGGCAATTCTTCCCTTCAAATGGAAAGGCTTGTGTTTTCCTAAAGCTTTATAGGTAAAGTGATCTGTTTGTTGAGTTGAGACAGAATGGGGATCTGACTCTGAATTTCTGACTGCTTGAGGCTGACAGTACTGCTGGCTATCAGAAATAATGCACAGCGCTGGGAGTGTCTCACCATGTCTTGGTGGTCATTTGCCTCCAGCCTAAAGCAGACATAAAATGCAGCATCATGAAGCATCTTCTGGGTTTTTTCTGTGCTTGTGTATGTGATGGCATCAATGACAATAGGGCTGTTGTAGGACTAATAGCAGTTCCATTTATATTTGGCTTCCCTGCAGATCAGATGGCCTCTTAGTTAGTATCCTCAAAATCACTTTTTTTTTTAAAGAGAAAAAAAAAAAAGAGTGATAATAAATGAATTTCCCTATTTTAATCAAACCCTGCATGTTCAGAACACAAAGCAGAGCAAATTGTTGCTCAATAACTATTGTTTTTGCTTATTTCAAAAAAGCAGTTCAGTTGGGTTCAGTCATATCTAAAAGAGACTTCATCTCTTGGAGTTCAATTCTGCAACCAGCTGAGGAAATTAATCATAAAGGACTGGGACCTAGGCAGGTATTAGAAAGCCTTTCACACTTAACTCATTCCTCCTTTTCCACCCACCACAACACTGGTAGTATCCTGATTGACCTCATATGTACTTACTCACAGTCTGCAAATCTGTTGTCGTCTTCCATCCCTCCTCCCTGTCTTTGTAATTAGCAAATACTGAAAATAATACATCCTTTCCACAAAGGCAAAGAGAAATGAGGCAACTGTTGGTTCCCCAGAACATTCTGAAAAAAATACTTGCACTGCTTTCTGTCATTCTGTAAATCCAGAGTAAAACCCAACATACTTTTGTTTCTAAAACATAACCTGCAAAAGAAAGGGAATATTCCCTCAAGCAGCTGTGTGAGGTACTATCTTGTAGTGCCTCAGACAGTTCTTGGTTAGAAGAATTAAACAAAGATATTCACAGCTCTCTCAGTGAAAGACCTGTTTTCTACGTTTGTTTCTGTGACATCTGGACAAGCACAAAGCCTGTTACTCTCCAACCATGTATTTTTAAGTTTAACTGAGGTGGCTGCCAGTTAGATTTGAATACCAGGAGTGGCATCTCTCATCCAAGGAATGTGACTTCCCACAGGGAGCACATGAAACAACTTACTGTCCGGGACTCATTCATTTTCATCATATAAGATCCCCACTATTTTTTGAAAAAAGAAAAGGAGATTGTCACAATGTCTGAAGCCACTCAAATCACTATATTTGATGAAATGCAAAGGGTCTCTTGGCTCTGTTATTACAGATTCTTATTACAGCTAGGAAGGTCATGAGATTTTTTGGATCAATGGTCAATTTTCTTCTTGGAAAAAAATAAGATCAGATCAAAGTAAAACTTGTTTTTTAGTGAAGTGAAAAAGTAGGAAAAAACCCCCAAACAATAATGTTACCTAAAAATAATTATTTGGGGTTTTTCACCCTCTTTGTTGTCCTTTCTTTTCTCTTTGTTTTTGCCTTTCACATTTAGGCCTGTTTTGAAAGAAAGCTGCAAATTTTCTTTTGGAAGATAACTTTGGGAAAATATGTTGACCTTTTGAAATTGAAATGTTTCATTAAAATATGCTGTAGACAAGTTGTTGATATTTTCAAAACTCTTTTGTTTTCAAATGAAGCTATTTGGTAACTGTATAAGTGCTTCTGGTCCCTTCCACCTAAACTGTATTTTTTAGCAAAGGCAGGTTTCCACAAACATTTTCCCAATTCAAGGAACCATGAATGTTTATTTGTCCATGGCAAGAGGAGCTAGCTTTTCCTCTTGGGGTCTTGGGGATCTCAGTGGTCCTCTGCATTGGGAGGAGATGAAGATAGAAAATTCAAGAGTCAGTGGCAGAAAATGCAGGCGTGTGAAAACAGACCTATCAGAAATACTCTTGGCCATAACACATCCAAGGATTTCTATTGCAAGAGCACCAAATCACACCTTGCTGAAGTATTTCGAGCAGGACTTACCTTGTAAAGCTCAGAATGCCTTCACTCAGTTGCAGAATTAAGCATTTACCACCAAAAAAAAAAATTGCCTGATTTTGCCAAATAAAATCACCTGAAGAAAATTATGCATACTATTTGAAACAGGCTTTCCATTTCCCAAAGCCATGGAGTGGACACAGACCTGAGAATACAGCTTTCCATTTCCCAAAGCCATGGAGTGGACACAGACCTGAGAATACAATCACTTCCCCCTCTGAATTAAACCCTTTCATGCTACAGGAAGTCCTAGAATCCATATTGAAAAAAACCAAGTCACCTCCTGCAATTCCTTTTAGCCGAAGAAAAGGAGTCAAGAGTGCCCAGAGCGCCCCAAACCAGTGTTCTCATTGGGTTAAATTCAGTGTTCTGGTCCTCATTTGCAGGGTAATCTCAGCCAGTATGGTCATGACCTCCAGCAAGAACTATGTTATACTGGAACAATAGATCTGTCAACCTCCTGAGCGAAAGGGGTGTGTGCAAAGGACAAAGGTTTCTCAGCAGCTGGCTCATGAAACTGGAGTTCCTGCCTGGAAGGGATCAGGATGATTAAAAAACTCAGCACCTTCTAAGCAAAATGGAAAACCCACTTCTTTGCTTTGCTCTTCCCACAAATGCTCTACATGACAAAAATAAATTAAGTCCAGTCTCTGTTGCCACTAAAAAAAGGAAAGAAATGTTATTTGCAGGAAGGAAATGACTAGGCTATTTCTGTCTATCTACTTGCCATAATTTGGGGATCTTTGTAGTGTTCCCACTACAAGGGCTCGTATCTAGTTAAATGGAACAGATACAAACTGCAAAAGGATTCAAGATATTTATTTGCATAACATTTATTTTTTTCTAATCTTTCATTGTACTGATCATATTTCCTGCCTCAGTCCAGGCCTCAGAGCTGAGCAGGCCAGCAGCCCTTTCCATGTGAGAGAGAGCTCAGGGTTTGGTGCATCATGCCTGAGAAATCTTAGCACTGGTGTTCTTCCATTTCTAAGTCCTATTCCAATGTTTTGGTTTTCTTCTGAAAAATTATTTCAACACCACACTGGAAGTCCACAGTGTGAGCCATTCCAGATATGTTTCATTCTTCTGGATCCTTGCACACTCCAAATGATCTATATGTATTGATGCTGATGCCTCAGATATGACTGGTCTGTTCACTTTGATCAGTGCACTTTCCATGATTGTTGCCTCTCCACTTGTTTTCCCATAATTGTCTCAAGGCATGGCACCTCTGTGGATGACAGCCCATGTTAATTGTGTTCCTTTGGCTTCTCTCTGTCTGCAGGGGCTATGCAATCCTACACATGGTCACTCACCTACACTGTGACAACAGCTGCTGGGTCACCTGCTGAGAATTCCCAACAGCTGCCCTGCATGAGGAGCCCACACGTACCTTCATCGTCCGTCACACACCGTATACCTGTTTATCCCCACAGAGAAGAACATGGGTAAGGCACTTCCCACTGGCTTGGGTTTTTTCAGCGTGTTTTTGGCAGGATTTGGATGAACTCCTGCTTGGGTGATTTTTTTTTATTTTTTTTAAATACAGTAAAAGCTGTTTCTTGATGTAGTTAAGTCTGTATTGCAAAGATGCTGGTATCATAATTCTTTGGTTGTTGTTGTTATTCTATAATTATATTATGTCTTAGTTTTATAATCTCATTTAATTCTATTCAAAGCCACAGTAGGCCTGGAGGATATTTTCTAAAAGGGAAGGCTTAAGCAGATTCCTTCTCTGATTTCTATTTCCCTGTGCCATGTTTGAAAAAGCTAGATGTGCCTAGAGAACAACCATGTGTCAGGAGAGGTGATCCTTCTCTTTTTGCTCAGCACTGCTGAGACCACATCTGGATCCAATTCTGTGCTTCCCAGTACCAGACAGACCCAGGCATACTGGAGTAAGTCCAGAAAAGGACCACTTAGAAGATGATTGTGGGACTGGATTATCTGTCATACAAAGAGAGTCTGAGAGAGCTGAGGTTATTGAGCATCAAGCAGAGAGGGCTCAGGGAGGATCTTATCAAAGTGTGTAAATACCTGCTGGGGGATGTAAAGAAGACAGAGACAGGTTCTTTTCAGTGGTATTTAATGACGGGACAAGCACAATTAGAAGTACAAGAAATTCTGTTTAAACATAAATGAATAAAAAACTTGTTTTACTGTAAGTGGGACCAAACACTGGGGCAGGTTTCCCAGAAAAGCTACGGAGTCTCCATCCTTGCTGATGTACAGATGCCAGCTGGACACAATCCTGGGCAGGCTGCTCTGGTGGACCCTGCTTTGAGTAGGGGGCTTAGACTAAATAAACTCACAGGTCACTTCCAACCTCAGTGATTTAATGACTACTGTTAACCTGCAGATGAAAAAATGTCCACAGTTTGAAGATACAGACACAGTATCACCATAATAATCTAATATTCTCCATCACCAAAATGTGCTCAAGGCTCTCAATTAAAATAATTACAGGTATAAATTTATGCAACACTGTTTCATCTGGAAAAGCTTCAGACACTTGCAAAAGCTCTCTGTTTTTTTCATTCGATTCAGTGACATTCCATTCGATTCACAGACATCCATAACTAAAAAAACAATCATAAACTAATTGATGGAGAAGGAACAAACAATATAGCAAAATTAGCAAATGCCCAGGTGCTGCTATGATGCCAGAGGTTCAAAAGATTTTACTGTGTTCCTCAGTCTTGTTGCAAACTCACTAACTTTGCAGAAGTGCTTTCCCAGAGTGAAAGACTCTAAACTGTTTGGAAGGGTATCAGTAGATTAATTTGAACTCTGCATCTTCTTCCATCTTAAATGTGATTAGGTTTAGATACCAGTTTGAATATCACTACTAAGGCCTTACTGGGAAAACCTGGATAAAGGGAATGTCTCTCTTATCCAGAAATATGACTGTTAAGTGGAGGCAGAAAGAGAGCAGCACAGAGGTACAGGAGCTAAGAGTATTCAAGACATAGAACAGACCACAGTAAGGCAGTGTCTATGTTATATGTGTGTGTGTGCATGTGTGTGTGTGTGTGTGCGTGTGTGTGTATGAGAATTCATTGTTTCTGCAGGAATCTCTTGCATCTGGTGTTGGTTTATGGTGATTTGAGGAAATATTTTAATCTAGGTGAATCAACTTTTCTGAAAAGATCAGATGTTCACAAAAATTGGGAAATTGCAGAAAGTGTCCATGTATCTTCTGCTAGTGAATGGTCCAAACAATCATGGCCAACACTGACTCAGTAGCTAAGGAAACTGCTCCCTCCTTTGCCCCTGGAGGAGGTTGGGATTCAACAAAGAAATTAGACAGGTTCTCCCACTTCACATCCCACTCCCTTACTGAGTTGGCTGTGCTAAAGCTGAACATTGTATGCTTCAGGTTCAAACTAATTCACTTCTCTCCCTCCCAAAAAAGGAACATCTGACTGCAGTGCAAGGAGATAGCTGAACTCATTGCAGGTCTTCAAGTCAGGGCTTACTATACTTCCTCAGCCTGGATAACAATTTATTGGGAACATGGCATTAGATAACAATAAAAAGGAAAGACACTTTCTCCTCAGAATCTGCAGAGCTGAGTCTGCAGTTTAAAATCAGCCACAGAAACATGCTGGGTCTCTCTATTTGATGTTGTGCTGGATACACACTTGCACTAGTGGCATCTGCTTCCCATCTGAGCTGGAAAATATATATGTGAAAAAGATTTAAAATATCATCCTCCTCTTAAAAAAAAAAAACCAAACAACCAAAAACAATGTTATGTTTCATAAAAGTTGTGGAATGATTAGTGGAAATAAATTATTGTGCATACTAAAAGTAGTTTTTGATGTATTTTAGATACACAGGAAGTTACAACTATGGTAGCTATAGCAACCAGCATCCCCATCCAATGCAGAGTCAGTATCCATCCTTACCACATGATACTGCTATTTCTGGACCACTTCACTACTCAGCTTACCACAGGAGCTCTTCACAGGTAATCTGCATTTATTACTTGATGATAGTTGTTATAACATTTAAAATAATTCAGTTTGTAAATTTTTCAGCATATTAGCTGTCTGAATCAATAAGCTGTCTAGATATTGATGGCTCCTATTTTTTTTTATTTTCTAATATTGCCGAGGTATTTTTTCATTTTAGTGGAGATCAGAAGTAGCTTTAGATTGTCAATACAAAGTATTAACTCTAAAATCCAGCAGTCTGGATCATGGAAAGTGTTTCTGTTTAAGGAGTAGCTAAAGCAAAACCGAATATAATTAGTTGTATGATTCTTAGGCATTGGGAGCAGGAAGAGATCCCTAAGAAGAAATAAAAGTGTTTTCATTTAGCTGAAGATGCAGAGATCCTAATGAATTCTTGTGGGTCTCTGCTTTTGAGGATACTCATGTTTAGGAGTTCGCCACAACAGTAAGTTCTGCATGTAGTTTGAATAACTTCAGGACACCACTGCAGGGGTTGTTTAATCTGTATCCTATAGTCTCCCACAGTGCTGAGAAATTATGTCAGTAACCCTTCCACCTCACGAAATTGAGCCAGTAGGAGCCAGCACAGAATAGGTGTGAAGATCAGATCTGGCAAGAGTTCCAAAGCAGTGCCACTGTCGGAGGGCTTTACTGCCTCAAGCAGCTGGTGCTTCCTCAGGGTAGGCAGCTGCTCTCTGGTTCTCTGCTGGAAGATTAGCAAAGGGCAGATACAGGGAAGAGGTGATGGCATCAGGGTATTCCACCCACATGGCACCACTTATCCTTTACTGGAAATTTATAAAAGTGTATCAGGGACTGCCATGCTTAATATCATCACTGGACTGCAACTGTTTCATAACAGAGGCAAAGATATGAATTTGGTAGTGCTTTGAAACAAAGAACAGGAAAGCTGTATCTCATTTTGGTCTTTGGCATCAGTCTGCCATGTGATCTTGGAGGAGTTGTTTCTCCTTTTTATGCTTCATTTTCCCTAGCTGTAAGATAAGAATCATGGTATTGATCTCCCTAAAGCTTTTTGAGATCTGTATGCTCATTAGGAGCAGCTCAACAATGACTCCCTGGCTTATGGAAAGGACAAGCTACAATTTCTCACCCATTTGTGTAGTACCTGGTGTGTCAGACTACATGAGGTATACAGCTTTGTCTGAGGGTTTTTGCAACTGCTCCATCTTCAGCAGAAAAGTGAATGAACATCTAAGTGCAGTGTCCTGAGACAGGTTTGTTTCCCTCCATTTTTCCGTATAGGTCTTACCCTGTTATCTCAAGAAAGAAGTAAAGCAAATCAAGATCAACACATTTTTAGTTTACTTGGATCCTGGCTAACATGCTGTATGCAAACAGTAGCAAACACTGAACACAGGCAAATATCTTTCATACTGTAGTAGGCTGTCACTACAAATGCAGATGTCAGATAATTTTTTTCCTCTCTTGCTAGTCTTTGAACTGTCCTGAACATATATGAAGAACAGCTATGCTTTAATGATCACAGTTTAAAGGAAAATAATTTCAATGTCTGTGTGGCATGCTCTTTCTCATGCTGCTTATAAACTGAGATGGAATTACACAGCAGGACACAGCCAACAAAACCCTATCAATGTGCCTGTTCTGTATTGAGAGGAGCTACAAACTGGAACCTTAATTTTGAAAAATTATCTAAAAATCTTTAACAGTTTGACACATAATTTGCTGACAGATTTTTAAAGCTAAGTTAGCATCTTTAAAATGCCTCCCCTGATAATAAGTCCTCTCTTAGTGATTTTTAACAAAAAAAAAAGTTTGTAAGATGTCCCTAATAAGATGTTTGGGAACTGTTCTTTTCCTAGTGGTCTTTGTGAGGGGGACATGTTGCAAGGAGTTGCAGTAGAACTCATGATGTTGCAAAATAAAAATATAGGAAGCCAAATTTACAATGAATATATCAACAGATGCCACTATACTGAAACCAAAGGGGCTGCAATATGCAGAGCTGTGGAAGTATAATCCGCTGGGAAAAGGAGGCATTGACCATAACTTTCAAAAGAAGTCTTTGTTATAATCTACATTCTGGCCAAATATAGAACTTTGGCTCAACTTTAGCAACTATTCTACCATGCTCTTTAGGACAGTGTCTAGGGAATAACTCTGAGTGAAAAAAAAGATCTGTGTGTGTGGTAAGTGCTCTACAAACATGAGTTCAGGGAGAGCCCTTGTCCCAGACAAGGGTATGAGCCAAATCAGGTGACATGTAGTTGTGGTGGGGTTTAAGCTGATCTATTAATAACTATTTTGGTCTTGAAGAACAACACATCCAACTTCTTTCCATGGAAGACAGTGACACACTCCAGGTTTTATCAGCTACTTTGAGAGTTTTGATTCTGTCTTTGGAATCTTTGGAGTGAGGCTGTGCTGGGGAAGAAATCACATAGATGTAGATACTTTACTATTAACCATTACTTTACACTTTTTACATCAAAAAGTGCAGGTGAGGATCTGTCATTACAGGCTAATTCCCACTGATGGCTAAGACTCTTTTTGATGACAGGAACAGTCTGTTCAAACCTTGATCTTAATCTGAATTTTTTCTTCCCTTACCATCTGTGAATAATTCTCAGAACAGTTCCTTGCTTGTAATTCCAGGCCTGATTGCTCATTTCTTGACTCAGATTACTGGCCAGGAGCCTGGAAGACAAATGAAAAATGATCTACAGATTGATGTGTTACCACCTAATTCTCTAAGCCACAGTGAAGGAGTGCATACAATATTCTGATGCTATTCCACCATCATATAGAAGGAGACTGTTTAGTGTGTATGTACATAAACACATCTATACCAAGCCTCTATTTCATCAGTTCTTCATTTCATCTACTTCTGCAGTTTTAGGTACCAGGTGCCAGGGTAGAAAATAGGCAGCAACTCTGTCTAAAAGCCTCTGAGAAGTCTCATCAACCTATGTTGAGTTTAGCAGAGAGTTACAACACCCTCACAAAGTCACACCTGATCCACCTCCACTATGTAGGCTTGACTAGCTTCTGAGCACGGCTTTTATCTGCAATGTTCACCCTGGCTAGACAGATCTTAATCCTCTTTCAGGCTATCCAAAATATTTCCATTCATGTAATTCTGCCTCTTCCTTAGACACAAACTAATTCATGCTGCAGTAATTTTTCTTTGTAAATTTCATAGCTTACTCTTTTAGAAGGAGGGATAATCAGAGAAATTGCAGCATATCTGGTAACATACAGAGATGCACATCTTTAAGTACCTTAATGTGTTGCTGTAGTGAATCACACTGTCAGTTATCAAGGTCTTTCTCTAGCAAGGACCAGAAACAGATGTGTGGAGGAAAAGTTTTAGAAGTAGTTTCACCGGCATAGCTATGATGACTTTGGCAAGAGGTAACCTAGGGATACATTGAGTAGGAAGGAGCAGTTGGAATGATGTCTGTTGTAGCAAACCACGCCCAGCACCCTGTCTTTGAGCTTTTTTTTACATATAGACTTTGTCAGGGATTGTATGAAACAATCATTCTCTTGTTATTTTTAAGTCTGTTATCTCATAATTGCATTGGGTGCCCTGGGGTTTTCTGGGTGAAGAAGAATAGTGAATATTCATTCTCTGTTTATCTACTCTCACCATTCAAGATATTATAGATCTGCATCATTCCTTCCTCACCTCCTCCCTGTCATCTCTCTCACAGAATTAACTGTTATCATCTCTTTAGTTTCTGTTGTGACAGGTGCTCTGTGCACAGGAGTTATCCAAGGACTGCAGGGCAGGTGTAGTCTGCAGAGGCTGTGAATGTCCTGTTCTTTCAGTTGTGCTGAGCAGGGAATCTGATGGAGCTGCAGCTCCTCTCCAGCCTTTCTGTGCAAACCTGATCTCAAAGTAGGTGGGAGGGATTCAGTCAAGAAGCTGTCAGCTCAGTCACCTAGATCTGAGAATCCCTCATAGATGCCACACTAATCACAGCCTCATTTTACCTTTTCACCTTTCCCACTTCTGAAGTGAAACAACCATCTCCAAATGGTCGCTCTCAGGTGACAGAGAGCCATAGAAGTAGTACAGCAATGTTCCTCCTTTTGTACCATGAAGGTCCTACCTTAAAGACAAAAATTAATCTTTTTTTTTTTTTTTTTTTTTGTTGCCTTTAAGCTGCATTTATGAAGATCATAGTTTTACTTCCATGGCCTGGACAGAACAAATCTAGAAAATACTGCAGCAGTACAGTCTGCTGTTCAGCAGTAGATCAGATCTGCACTTTTCAGAGGCCCACAGCACACTGAGCCATAGTCAAAGGAAATTTAAGCAATTGTTTGTACTCTGACTCTCCTGAACTGCTCTGGGGAGTGCAGTGGTCTCATATAACTTCACAGGGTGCAGCATGCAGTACTACTCAGTTTTTCTGTAAAAGAATGCATGCCACAATTCCACTAAACCATGTCTTCCCTTCATATACCTCTGCAGCAGGATTTGTTAGATGCAGTTCTGGAAGACAGTAGTAACTCTTTTTGGCAGTGGGGGAGCCAAGGAAATCCTCTTTCAGACAGACCCCATGCTTTACTGTCCATTCTTGTTGTTCTGGCTCATCTACTTTGGGGAAAAAAAAAAGAAGGGGAAAGTTCTTAATCCTCCAGCACATACACATTATAAACCCATGGCTATACCAATGCAGTAAGAATAACACCCTCCTCAGTAACCACTCTGTCATCAAACAGCTGGTAATGACAGAAAGACAAAAATACTGCCCAAATCCCACCCATGAAGCAAGAGTCATTGTTCCCAACTGTATGGCTTAAGAACAGCCTCGAGACTGTTAGCATGTAATTGAAGCAATTATGTATTGAATGCAACAGGAAACAGATGTCTAAACTTCTTTTGAGATAATTACAAATAGCATTTTCTGAAGGCTCCAAATGCCACTCCCAAAAGTACCAAAATCACTAAGATGGGCTTCAAAGTTTCACTCTACACAATTAACAGATTCAATAAGGCTCAATTTGTGGAGAAAAGGGTCAAATTAAGGGTGATAAAGATGCATTTAATCAATAGTTTTGATTATGTCATTTTATAAGGTTTAAGCATATTTTTATGAAGTTAATTTATAGCCAGCTCTCCACAATTCAGTAGTTTCTGGTATGTGTTACTTGCAAGCCCTAAAGTAGTGGCTAACATGCAACATTAATTTGCAGCATTCAGCAAAAGTGGGAGCTAATACAATGTAAAGTTAGAGCCACATTCATAAGGAAAATATTTTGCTGTTTGGACATTGAAACCTTTCACTTCCATTTATAATTGGTTGGTGAGTTGAGAATAAGGATAAAGAGATTATTCTCCATCCTTTTCACTGTAGAACCTCAGCCCTCACTTCATGGCAAGACATATTTAATGTTGCATTTTCTAAAATAATACTAAAAGAAATTGAATTTATTTTACATTTGTGGGCAAGGCCTTAACAATAATCTGCTCAAAGTCTCACAGGCTTAAAGGGCTTCTTGTCTAGATCTAATGGCAGCAGTAGCAACAAGTGTGAGTCAACCCAGAAAATGGTAATTTCCTGTCAAGAGTCCTCCAACAAATGTCGCTTTTATATCTGGCAAAGATCACTAGGCCCCAGTGTTTTGAGTTCAGCTTAAGCACTCTTCATTAAACCGGATGTAGAGTGTGAAAGGTGATTCAGGCAGCATGGGGAGGCATCCGCCCAGATGGCTCTGCTTTGGACACTCCAACAAGGCTGAATAGATGCTTCATTGGGTGATTTAATAGTCAGGCAGGGGCCAATGAGTATTTTAAAAATATTGTCTTTCAATAGTCTCTTCACTGTTGGGAAAAAGAAGCCACTGAGTCATTTGCGATTAGCTGACCTACCGTTACAAAACTTTCCATCTTGCATTCAGTCATAACAGAATTTATTGTAAAATCCTGGATATTTAGAGTCCATGTTATATTCAAGCAATTATTCTTTTTACATTCATGACACATTCATAAACACAGCTGCATTGGGTGCTCTCGATGAAAAGGAAAAGCAGCACACTGTATCCTGTCCCCTCATGCACAGCCATTCCCCTGCCTTCTCAGTAAGCCTAAGCATGGCCTCTGGGCTGCACATTGGAGGAGGAAGATCTTTCTTTTCCCAGTGCATCCCGAAGTTCATTCTGGGAGCCAAGATTTCATCCACTCGCTGGCACAAGTTTTGTAGTTCCAAACCATCAAACAGACAATGTGGCTTCCACGTACTGCTGTGTACAACAAGGAGGCCCACCACAATATTCCCACAGTTCATTCTCTTCTTCTTGATGACAGGTGACAGGTTTTTGCAATCTACAAATTTTCAAACAGCAAATTATCCTGGCTGAAGACAGGGATTTCTCTTGGCATTTGTAAGGGATATGAAAGCAAGCAGTTCCCCTGTTAGAAGTCACAACCTTCATTTCAAAACCTCAAAGGAAAATTGCACTGGGTCAGGATGGCAAAGGCTTCTGCTATAGTAAACAACAGAACGGATCAATTATTTCACTTGGGAGGAAGACAAGAGAGAATCACTGGTGTATTATGGCAGAAGTCTAGGGTAACCCTGTTCTAAGTACACTCCTTAGTACAAGAATCTACAGTGATTTCAAGTATAGACCAATGGGTAATAAAGGCAAAGACCACCATAATTGGTATCAAGGAAAACACTACTGAAGACAAAGAAGAAAGTTTTTAGCTTGGGCCACATATTGCTTCAAAGCTTAAGTTTCATTGTTGCTGGTCATTGGAAGTTCTCATCTTCAATGAAAGCTTTTGGAAAGCCAAAAAGTCTGAAAACTTGATTCTTCTTCAAAGGAATAGAAAGCTTTTTACACTCAGTATGTAAGCTCTGCTGAACTTTCCTACTGAAAAAACTTTCTCTGGGGTGAAGATGGAAATTTAGATGGTGTTGTATAGACCTGTTGTCAGTGTTGGCAGGACAGTGCTGAAATGTCGATGTTCCAGGGTGGTGCTGTAGTTCAACACCCCGTTTCAGCAGCTGTGATGGGAAGTTCAGGCTAGATAACACCTTTGATGTCTTCCCTCTCATCTGCCTACTGGCCTGTCTCCCCAGGACACACAGGGATGTGCTAAATCACATAACTACAGTATGTTGGTCAAAAAGTCTTCTTTTTCTCCTCTCTAGTTAGGAGTGGCCAGCGTGTGGCTCTGAGCAGCCTGACGCTTGTGAACTGTTCAAATACGTTTGCCAAGGCTGTGGGCTGCCTTCCTCAGGCTGTGGTCTGAAGGGAGACAGCACAAACTCCTCATGGAGACACTGCTGCAATTGCCTAGGGCTTACGTAACAGCTGCTTATGCAACTGATTAACCCCGGGGCCCATCCACAGTGGAGTAATGTAATGAGACCCCTAGGGAATCTCCCTCCTAGGAGCACCTACTCCAGCTGTTCTCTCCATAAGCCTCCAAAATATGAGGAAGGGGTTTTGCAGCCATAGAAAGCTTTGGCATGCAGCTTGCAAGGTTCGTGAGCATCAAAAATATTAGTCCTAGGTGACAGCTTTCTAGTTAAAGAAATACCACAGCGTCAAATAATCCAACAAACAGAAATTTTAAATGTGACACTTTTTGCAGAAAAGGTATAAAGACGTAAAATGTAGAAGGTCTGAAGATACATGGCTGGTCAAGAGTAACAGGGATCCTCACCATCTCTGTGATGCACGTGGATAACGGGGACAAACCAGGGAGAGCCATTCCTCAGACACAGGAGACAGATGATCTGCTCCTGCAGGACAGGCAGAAAGATAAATGCATGCTAAGCAAGCCATCCCAAGCACAATTTATTTTCTGTTGCTGAGCAGCCTGTGGCTATGGAGGGCAAAAGCTGTTCTGTTTTCCTTCCCATCTTGTCATTCCTTAGTAGAAACCATTTGTCAAACTTCTTTTATTTTTATTTTCCAAGTGTCACTGTGATCAGCTGGGAACTAGAAGGATTCTTCTCCTGTCTGACTCTTTCCAGAAGTTCTCCAATTAGCTGCTGGCTCTGGGGCCAGACCACACTGTTTTCTTGCAGCCTTGTGAACACTTTAAAGGGAAGGTACCTTCTCAGAAATAAAGATGCTTTTGCTCCTCTCCCTCAAAACTCACTTGAGTTAGGAAGGGTTGGGACATTTTATTTTCTGATTTTTATTAAACAGCCAGTTTTTGAGTAAAAGTGGGATAAAAACAATTAAATTAATTCAATCTATTTTTCTCCTCCCAGATACACCTAGCATTTTGATATTAAATATTTAAAATTCAATATTTAAAATCAGCAACTGTTTTGCAAGACATTCCCTGAAACTTTGGTTTACAGTAGACATCAGTTATCTGATATTTCACCTTCAGTATGATACCTTGTTGTTGGATAGCTTCTAATTCATGTGATTTTGACTTTTTTAAACACAGAACTGCAACACCACCAGTTCTTATTTTAAAATTAAGTATCTGTCAGATGATTCTTCAATTTTTATTTTTTTTTTTAATTGTAGTACCCTTTCAATGGCCCAACATCAAGAATGGAGCCCTGTTTGATGAGCAGTACTCCCAGGCTGCATCCCACACCAGTGACTCCGCGCTGGCCAGAGGTCCCAGCTGCCAACTCCTGCTACACGAGCTCCTCCATGCACTCCACGAGATACGGGAATTCCAGTGACATGTACACGCCCTTGACAACACGCAGGAATTCTGAGTACGAGCACATGCAACACTTTCCTGGCTTTGCCTACATCAATGGGGAAGCCACCACAGGCTGGGCTAAGTGAAGATGACTGGTATCAGCTAAGCCCACACACTTACAAGAGTTAGAGAAGCTTCGTGCCGTGTGGGACTTTTCATGGACATTCTTCAAGGGAGGTGAAAACGGAAAAGATCCCGGGCAGATAAATGTAGTTCCTAACGTGGGCAGATTGCAGACCAGTACAACTGAATGTTCCTGTAGCCGAAAAATACTTCTGTGCTGTTCTAAACCTTTTTTGGGCCGATCTGTGCCTTCTTTAATTCTGGGCCAACCCTGTGTGCTCTCAGTTTGAGTGAGCCATTTTTATCCCCTCTCTTATTGAAAAACGTTAATGAGTCTTAAAAAAAAAAAGGACTGAAACGGGACCTATTTATAATTTGAATTAAGGACAGGAAATTCACCCTCAGCAAAACTCCGTCATTAAAGCTCTTAATGCATTCCTTAAAAACCATTCTGCCAAGTCATCACTTACTCATATCAATTCCTCTATCTGGTTCCTTAAAGGACATATGTTGCTGTAGGTTTCAGTTTACACCTAATTTTGTATATTGATGCACCTTTCTGTTGATCCAGTAAGTTTGATCTTTACAAAAGAGAAGAAAAGACATGTAGCATTGAATTATACACTGCCTTAAGTTGACTATTGTTCTTATTATATATGTATTTGTGTTGAGTTTGCACAATCTGGAAAATTCTAACTTCTCTGGTCAGTAATGACAAGGTAAGAAGGGACTTGGGGACTGGGAAGATTTTGGATTCAGAGCCACATATGTTAAATATGATGATATGAAGCAATTATATAAGGAAAACAAAAATGCAAACATGATAATTTGCTTAATTATCTATAGACAGGTATGAAACTTCTCTCAATTCCTTCGCGTGGTGATGATTCTCTATACGTCTACAAAAGCGAAATTCAAAGCTGTGCCTTTGAAGTTATTCTGTACTGTGTATGTGTGGAAAAATGTATTGTATTTTGGGGAGAATTTTTCTTAGACATTTTCTGTCAGATTTGTAGCTATTTGTGAGTTTTTGTTAGTTTTTATTAACATAGCTTTTTTCTTCTGTATTATAAAACGCACCAAGCAATTATGGTGGACCTATTACCCTATGGGTAAGAAATAAATAAATGGAAATATGACAACAGGCATTTTAGTAATTGTTTTGTAAATAAAATCTTTGATAGTACCCAGTGTGATGATAACCACGTTTATGCCTAAAATGGACATAAGTGTTATTTGTACAGTTGTGCAAGATATATGAGGGATTTTCACACCCAAATAAAGTTCTTGAAAGCAAATAGATGGCAGTTAAATTTACTTAAATACAAAAACTTCTACAAGCTGCAGACCTTCAAAAAATGTTAGATGTCATCATGTATGTTTTTATCCAAGGAAGGACTCGAGAACAGGTACAATTTGTGGCAAATGGATGATGTACCTTCACTTGCCTGATGGACTGGTGATCATGACCTGTCACGGTCCCTCCAAGAACCAGATAGCTTGGTGAGATGTCTGTGGATAGAACTGACCAGAAACTCAAGGCTGGGTCTTTGGAAGGATCAGGATGGAGATGAACCCAAACACCCCACTCAAGGGAAGCCAGAAGCATTTCCTCTCTTTTTTACAGTAAAATGTTAAACCAAAGGAAGTCTAATCCCCATTGACTGAAAGAGAGGAGAAAATGAGACTATTTTAGCACACAAATATTCCATATCCTTCGACACCTTTGGGAACAGCTCTGTTACCCAGATTTCAAGAGCTCAGGCAGACTGTTTAGGAAGGAGGAGGGATACTGGACACAGTGTGAGACCCAGAAATAATAAAACCTCTCTCAGTGGAGAGCTGCAACATCCTGGGCATCCTGGGAGAGGAAATTCTGACCAACAGCATCACCACAAAGCTACTCATAAAAAAGAGACAAAAACATCATCAGTCAGATAGAGCTTGGAAAGTCTTTTGCAAAAAAAACCAAAACAACCCAGTCCTTTTTTTTTTTTTTTTTCTTTTTTAAAGTTAATTTAGAGCTTGTGTTGATTCCTCAAGAGTGTGAATGTGCACTTCCAACTATCTTTGAACTGCTTCCTGATGAGGACTTTAAAAGCAGACTTTCATGAGGGGCAGTATATAGATTGGTCAAACAGAGGCCATCAGCTGCATGAGAAGAGCTGTGAGGGAAAGTAGGACTCATCCTGGGCCACTGCAGCTCAGACCCCAGCACAGCAGCACAAACCACAGCAGCTTTCAGGTCACAGGATGTGCACCAGGTTGGGGAGTGCAGCAGCTCGGGACAGCACCATAACCTCTGGGTACAATGTCTGGTGAGGGGCAAGAATGTCTTAAACCATCCCAGTACAAACTGCCAAACCTCCTGAGTCAGAGTCTGCAGGCTGTTATTTAATCCCTTCCCTTGACCATGGAAACAAAAAGTTGGGGTTTCTTGCCTAGCTGTGCATTCAAGTGCATATAAAGTAAATACGTGATTATGCGAATGTTGCTGAAGAAACTTTTATACCACATTCTGAAATATTCAGTCTCAATTGCAGTTTCTCTTCTGCTATTTTTTCCTATTTTCTTCTCTTTCCTCTCTTTTTTTCCTGTTTTTTCTCTTTTCCTTTTCCCTTTATTTTTTTTTAAATTTCTTGCTTACATTCTCTTTTTTCCTAACAACAAATGCACATTTTTATAAAGGCATGATCTTTTTCATGGGCTAAAACATATAACAAATGATAGATATACAGTAGAATAGAAACTCATATATTACAGCATAACTGACACAACACATTTAATATTTTAAATAGATCTACACACACACACAAATATATATATATATATATATATGTATGTATGCGTATAAAAATCCATTACAATTCTTCAAAATTTTTCATTACCAGGTAGAAAAAAAGACTCAGCGGGGGAAGAGCAGTGAGAACTCCATTCAGTAACATGAATCCTGTTTTTGTCAGGCTACCTCTTGCTGCTAAGGTCACTACCCTTTGACAAAAATGGCCTCTGACCTCCTCAGCCCCACAATTCTGTTGTGACTGACCCTGAAACCCATGAAATTCAGGGGCAGACATTGCTTTGGAAGGTTTAGATAAAGCTGACTAACTTGGGAAGGGCTCATGGTATGCACCCATCTGAAAAGGTCTGGCAGTTCTTTGGTAGAGGATGCAATTTATTCTGTCCCTCTCTTTCACTGAAATCCTAATCCTTCATATGCTACATAAAGTGGAAACTAAAATGCGCTGATGATGAATAACAATGCGCTTTTAAAGGGCAATAACAGTTTCCTAATCTTTATTTTTCAGGTTTTGTAATTTAAAAAAAAAAATTAATTGGAAATGTGCAAGTAAAATGAGTGTTTTGCAGTGCTGTGAAATAAATCTAAGCAGGCTTATACTTTATTATAGAGGTATAGATCTAACAAGCAAAAGATTTTTTTTCATTGGGTTTCTCTCCAAAACTGCATTAGTTTACAGAGGGATCTGACTCAGAAGAAATGGCTGTACAGTGGATAGCTGGATTTTGTTACTCCTTGCAGTCCAGTGACTGTGCTGTTCTGGATTTATATCTCAGTTCTTGTGGCAAGAAATCCCTAAGGAGGAAATTCAGGTTCTGGTTTTGGTCTGCATCTTAAACTCTGCAGACATGCACGGTCACATCTGACCACCTCTGGGCCCTGTCCATCTGCAGGTGCAACTTCCCTAGCGTTTTCCACTGTGGAACACGTCATTTCTTTGGTAAAAGGTTTCTCTTTAACATGGAAAGGTTTCTCTTTCTCACGGATTCCGGAATTGAAGGAATAAAGATTTCAAAGAGAGACCGGCCACAACTCCGTATGAACATATTTGGGTTTTTTTTTATTAACTTCAATATATCATTTTCTTCTATCTGGACAATTAATTTCGATTATAGGGCACCTTGAGTATGGAAATATTGTCTATCTGCTCAGTGTGGTTTACACCCACGGTCCCGCAATACTTTTATAGAGACACGGTTCACCTTTGCTCGACTCTGCCGATGCAGCTCACCTTTCCCCACTGCCACCTCCTGAACAGAACGGAGACTTTTCGTGTACCTCCATTGCTCTGGTGGGTTAGACTTGAGGAAAAGGGGATTGGTTTTGCTGCCAGGCGCTCTGGCCAAGCCCCGCTTCAGGGACTTCACAGACTTCGCCCGCGGTGGGAACCAAATGACCTAAAAGACTAAGAAAAAGCGGCCAGACGTGTCCGTGGCAGCCCTTCGCCCTGGGACAGGGTGTGCACAGGGCAGGTCGCAGAGAGCACACGCTCGGACAAGCCAAAGGAGGAGGCAGGGATGTGCCGGGCAGTGCCGTGCGCCGCCGGGCATCCCGAGAGCGCGCTACCGCCCCTCCTCCAGGCGGGAGCCCTCGGCGCTGAGGGCACGGACTGCAGCCCCCATCGTGCCCCGCGGCAACAAAACCCGGCGCGCCGCTCCGTTTGGCATGCTGGGAGATGGAGTCCTCTTTCAGCAACGGCCGGCCGGCGGGACGGCAGCCAATCGAAGGGCTCGGGGGTGCGCGCCGCCGGCCCCTCCAGCCAATGGCGCGAGGCCGCTGGCTTGCCGGTCCGGGCGGCTTCCGCGGGGAGCGTCGGCCGCGTCAGGGGGCGCGGGGCACGGGGCGCGCGGGCGGGGTGCGGCCGCTGCTGGCGGCGCCGGACGGGGCGGGACGGGATTGTCGGGCATGGAGCCGGGCGCGGAGCCGGGCTCGGACGCGGGCCCGGAGCTGGGCCCGGAGCTGGGCGCGGTGCTGGAGGCCGTGGAGGGGCTCGGCAGCGGCGCCGAGGCGGTGGAGCGAGTCCTGGCGCGGTACAACGAGGAGGTAACGGGTCCCATCCCCCTCCCCTCTGCGCCGCTCCCCCGGCGGTGTCGCCGCCCCGCCCCGCCCGCCCTCGGCAGCGCTGCCAGCATCGTCCTGGTCCCCCCCGGGCTGGGCTCTGCAGCGGGTCCCCAGCGCTCGCCGCTTCACCGCCGCGCCCCCTGCCCGGTGCAGCCTCCCGGC